CGAGTTTGGTCGCTTCGAGGTCCGCGTGACACTCGTGGACGCCGCCAACCCATTTGTGTTGGTCGACGCGGCGTCTATTTCGGGCCCGCTATCATCTTGTTCCTGGCCAGATCACAAGGACATGTTGGTGGAAGCGATCCGGCGCGAGGGTGCTGTGGCCATGGGCTTTGCTGCCACTGTCGAAGCCGCGGCCAAGACAAAGGGCACGCCCAAGATCGCGCTCATCTACCCCAAGGCCTCGGGCGGCAAGACCGCATCGGACGTTTGGGTACAAGCCTATTCCATGGGCAGGCCGCACCCGAGTTTGCAATTGACGGGCGCCGTCTGTATAGCCGCAGCGCTCAACGTTCCGGGCACGGTGGCTGCCGAGCTGTCGACGCGAAACCCTGCGCCTGAACTAAAGGCCGATGATCTTGTCGCTGGGGGTGAAGGCTACGGGACTGAAGCTGTGATTGCACATGGCAGGGGACAGGTCACTGTGGGTGTCGTGGTGGGGAGGGACGGCGACATTGAGAGCTGCGAGGTATCGCGTACGGCCAGGAGGTTGATGGAGGGTGTTGTACGGTACTACATTTGACAACAATGATGGGGATGCTAGCCGTTTCTTGCACGGAATAGACCAAGATTAGAGTAGAGTGGTGTCTTGATGCTGCAAGACGCGTCGTTTCATTGGGCTCGCTACTCCCGGGTTATGTTATCTCACTGTTCCTGTAACCGCGAACGGGCGCACTCGCCATCTCTCATGTAAGCGCCGCTTCTCGTGTCGCTCATGCTTAATGCGCACATCGGGCCACGGCGTTGGGACATCAGCCAGGCCGCATCCATTCTCTGGCAAGCGCCTTGTACGTGAAGACTCAAACATACACAATGAGATTTTCCCATAACCCGAAGAGCCGAGGGCAAGTCGAAGCGGCGCCTCGATCACACCCCGCTCGTTTGGATAACCACTTCCACAATCGGCTTTCACCCCGCCCGTCACTTCTGGGAAGGGCAAGCAAGCAGCACCGCGTGCTCAGCGCACTCGGCACCCTGACATGACTGGAACTTCTCAACGCGGCCGATCCTGCTTCAACCGCGGGTGCCGACTTCCATACTGCCGCCTGCTTCTGCATACGTAGACGACATGACCTCGACCTTTGGGGCCAGTATAATGTACGGCCTGCTCATGGTGACCACTGCCATTTAGGCTACTTGGGGCAATACCCACGCCCCCGACTCCCGAGTCGATTCGACATGCGGGGTAGAAACCAGGCTGGATGCCACTGGCTCCGAGGATCCCTGGCTGTGGTCGCTGCGAACCCCGCTTGCCACGCGGCTCGGGACTGGAGATGTTGGCCACTCTATGTAAGTACTGACCAAGCCTGGTCCTTTCGTTGGCATGCCGCCCGGCACAGCATATGCGTCGGGCAATAATAGCCAAGATGCTCCCTTCAAGCCAACTGGCAATATCGCCATTAATAACCCGTGCGAGGTGAGTTGCTTCAGACACACGAAGCACGTGGCCACTCCGTGCCCAGACGAATGAGACGCTGTAAACAATGTACGTACGAAGTGCATGTAACAGGCTGCACTTGGGCAATCGACATCCCACGCGGCCCCTCAGAGTGCGCTCTCGCGGTACATCGTTGTATGATGCTCATTCCCTCCAGATATTCCACTAGGACGGATGGAGCCTCGCCATCGGTTGGGATATGCATGGTCCGGAGCATTGCAGATGGAGTTGCGGCTACGATCAATGCGAGGGCCGCGGGCAAGAGAGTGCAGAACCGATATCTGCTCATTTTGCTTTCAGCGCAGACAATTTCGGCAGTGGCAAGCAATGTACGCCGATTGTACTTCTAAGTTACTCTGAATACAATGCCACCGCTGACTACCATGAGAACTATCTCTATCGACAATTGGGATGTGAGCACCAGGTTCATGTTGCACGAGTGCCTCCACCGTACTACCAGCCTGCGACTTCAGGACACGTAGTGCAACGTTCGCCAATGCAGTGCGAGCGCGGGTGCAGTCTCACTGATCGTGGAAAGAAAAAAGACGTTGACGCAGACGTTGATGGCCTTAAGTAATCTCAGTACTGGTACATCATCATAGCTTCACAGAGGCTCCATGGGCACATGCAATGGCATGCCTCGTCGAAATGGCCGGACGTGTCACAGCAGCTTCAGTGGTTTGCCAACGGGCACAGCCAGCGGCTGGACCTGGTCATGACGACCCCGCATCTTGGACGGGCAACTGTCCGCCGCAGCGCGCCAACAAAGTTCTGCCCTGGGACAGCGCTGGCAATCAAGGTGAACACTCATGAGGAACATCCTAACCCGAACCTCTCGAGATGAGACCCAAACGAAAGGTCCCGCCATGCAAGTATTGCCATCGGAATTTTGCGAGAACGGAGCATCTTCGCCGGCACGAAAGAACTCGTTCGTCTTGCCCAAACCGTGCTTGCTCCCGACACGTCTGATGCATTGGCAGACACACACGAGAAGCCGCATGTCTGCAAATGCGGCAAGAGCTTCTCTCGAAGGTCGTTGTCCCGGGAAGAGCGATCAGTTACTTCGGGACTAACAAACGTCAGGGATCTACTATCGCGGCACATCAAGACCATCGAGTCGCCCGCAGACCACCAAGAGCTGCAGGCAGCACCAGAGACCGTTGCCGAAGATGCTGCGGGTACCGAGAATGCCACCACTAGAACTGCTGGTGACGGCGACCGCACCAGACGCTTCGACACAACGGCAGTGTCGCCTTCAACCACACTGTCAACGCAAGAAACATACCACTCCATGATTGAATGCCAGAACACACCCGAGTTCTTTCTGTCAGGGGACCCGTCGTTCCTAGATTTGCTGTGGGACGACCTGGACTTTCACCCCGACACGCTGGATTACGCCTTTGTTAGTGCTGGCTTCCAAACGCTGGGACAGTTTGGCATCTCGGACCCTTTGTCCGAGCCGCTGCTGGTGCCATCCGGCATGACAGAGACGCAACCGAACCCAAACACGCCCCTCTGGGGCAATGAAGTAGCGAGGCCCGCGTCGCGTGTCCCATCTACCGGCCCCGACTTTTCAGACAGCATCCCGAAACAGCTGCACGTTGAGGGGACAACGACGACAGATGCGCCTTCAACGGCACGGGTATCCAGAAGCTCGTGGCACGTAACCCGAACGCAATATGAGCAGATTCGCTCCAGGGTCAAAGCAGAGGACCATGTGCTGGGTCGAGGCTTCCAGTTTCCCAGCAAACACGCATTCTCCAGGTACATCGAGGGCTACTCCGGATTCCACTCACACCTGCCATTCCTCCACTTCCCGACGAAGGCGATCCATGAGATGCCTGTGGAGTTGGTCCTGGCAATTGCCGGCATGGGTGCCCAGCAACGCTTTGAGCGCGACACTGCAATGCAATTGGGCCATGCTTCCAAACGTATTATAGATGCACGGCTTCGATCATACGACTCAAGCGCAACGGCTTGCGTGATACCAAAGCCAAGTACACACGACCAGAGCAGCCTTTTTGGAGACATACCGAGCACTGCCTCTTCATCAACAGGCAGCCTCACTATTTCCGCAATGCCTGCGCGACATCAGCAGCGACCATTGGCGATCGAGACCATTCAGAGCATGCTGATTGTCATGTCGCTGTACACCTGGAACCACGAGAGCTTTCTCTCAGCTGCGTTCTTGCTGGCGGATCAAATCGCGCAGCATCTGCGACAAGGAAGGTACCTCGAGAAGAGCAAACCCGTGCCTGACGAGACCTGGAGCCAGTGGGTGCACAGAGAGGAGCGGTGCCGGACTGTACTTATTGCGTTCGCCTTGCTCAACCTGCACACAGTCATCTACGATGTCCCGCCGCGATTCATGCATAGAGAGGTTTGGTCCTTTCGAGTCCCACAGCCGGAATCGCAATGGGCTGCTGCCACGGCGCAGGAGTGGCTCGCGATACGCCAACACGAGACTCCCATAGAGGCAACCGTTGGGCAGTGTTACCACGACTTGTTCAACACGGATGCTTCCACGTCCTCCTCCCACGGCACTTCGGCTTTTGGGAATCTAGTGACGATCCATGGCATTCTTCAACAGATCTTCCTAGCGCGGGAATCCTGCATCAGCTTCGAACCGGACGGCGCCGGTGGCGTCGACAACGTAAGCTCGGCATTGCCTGCTGGCTTGGAGACCAAAGTCAAGTCGGCCTTGTGCCGCTGGCAGCAGGCTTGGTCCTCCACAAAGGAGTCCTCGGTTCCACCGATAACGTCGGCTAGGCCACTCGGTTTCAATTCTACGGCGCTGTTTCGCGTCGCCTGTGTTCGCGCGAGCTACAACCTCGGTCCGTGCCGAAAGCTTGAGACCCGAGACCCGATCGAGATTGCAAACGCATTCAAGGATGCGCCGCACCCCATTCGATCCCCACGTCTGTACGATGCCATCCTCCAAAGCGCACATGCCCTGAGCATCCCCGTGCGAGTAGGTGTCAAGTACTTTGCCTCGACCCAGACCCTGATGTGGAGCATCGTCCACGGATTTTGCAACCTGGAGTGCGCCTTGTTCCTCAGCAAGTGGCTGGAACGCCTGAGCCTAGAGGGAAGCCCGCTAGTCGAAGAGGAACAGCGCTTGCTGTGCATCGTGGCTGGCGTACTGCGGGAAACGCCGTTCTTCGAGAGCACAATTGCGGACACCTGCAGCGATTACTCGATCAAGCTGATGTCCTATGCAGTGATAAGGCTCGTGGCCGAGTCGTTCAGAAGTGTTCACTTGTTTGAGCTCATGGACTCGTTTGAGAGGGCCGTCGATTTGTACGCTGCGCACTTGCAGAGCAAGCTCGACAGCCGGGGTTTGTGAAAGATGCGATGCTATCTCAATGAGGCTGGAATGACACAACATTCTCCCGTGCCCATCTGAAAAAAAGGGCTTTACCTATCACTCGTGAGGAGACAAAGACCCTCCGCAGAGTCATTTAGACCACAAACCATTTGCGCCTAGCCGGTTTCTTCGATGAGATGCCTAGAGAGTATAGCGCCAAAGCGGACTCGCATCTCCCAGGCGAACAAGCTCATCGTCCGTGTACTTGGCCCTGATCTCCGCGAGAGTCATCTTGTCGCGGGCGGTGTTGTCCTTCTTGTACCTCCATCGCAAGACCAACACCGAGACAATGGCTGCGAGAACGACGGCGAGACATACGCCGTACCCGGACCAATAGTGAGGTGCCTCTCTCTCCAAGAAAATGTTGCTCCCAACAATGCCACCGAGGTTGCCTCCCGAAATCAGCATTGCCATACCGACCGCGCGCTTCCCTGAAGGAGCAAGGTTGTTTGCTGGTGGAGGTTAGTTCTGGTGCAGGGTGATCAGGTTCGGCAAGACATACCGATCCAGCAGATTGCTGGGACGATTACGGAGTACAGGCCGCTGGCGGCCAGAAATAAGAAGCCGTACGTCAGGCCTGGGTAGTTGGGATGCGGGGACGCGATCAAGGCTAGAAGGCCAAGCGCTGCCGTGACGCATGCTCCCAAGATGAAGCTCGATCTTTGCTTGTAGCGATCAGACAACATGGCGCTCACCACGGCACAAATCATGGCGCAGACATAGACAGGGATGGTCATGAGTTGCTGTGGACGTCAGTTTTGCCCCTGTGGTCAATCAAACATACAGGGGTTCATACTGCGTTCGCTGCGCTGTAGCCCAGATCTCGGATGACGGTCGGAATTGTTACCGAGAAACTGTAAACGCTCAGTCATGGCCTCTCTCCCAGAGTGTGGGGAGCCTCACGCATAGACTGCGACCGTGTTGCCCCAGTAGATCACCTAATAAGTTGGGGGTCAGAGCCACAAGTACCGGAACGCGTCTGTGTGCTGGGCTGGCGACTGCACTTACCACTGCGACGTATATCCTCCATTCTTTCAATGCCTCCATCACTTGGCGCACAGTGAGTTTGTCGCTGTTAGTCGTTCTACCCTCGCCGGAGCCCGTTTCAGTTTCGAGGCGCGTGATGATGAAGCGCTTCTCCTCCTGCGTGAGAAATTTCGCTGTAGCCGGCCCGTCGGGCAAGAAAATGTACATGCAAATTGCTATGACGATGGTGGCGAGGCCTTCCAGTATGAATATCCTATGTATGATTAGAAAGATCCACCAGACGGCTGAGAGTTCAGGCGTCGAACCATGACCACCCTCCCAGGTGGGCGATGCCCTCCATGTGCTGGATGGCGTAGGCAAGGAGCCCGGAGAAAGCGCCGGAGAGAGACACTGAGGCGTAGAAGACGACCATTCGAGTCTGCACCTCATACCGTCGATACCAAACGGTAAGAAGGTATGTTGCGCCTGGAAAGAAGCCAGACTGGTGTAGACCTGATTGTCAGCGAGCTGCGAGCACGTTGCGTTTGGGACAGGTGCATCTACCTCTGTGATGCCGAGAAACACACGGCAAATCACAAGGCCCTTAAAGTCTTTCACAATCCCCGTCAAGGTCATGACAATGCCCCAAGCGAGCATGATTGATGGCATCCATATGCTGGGCCGGGTGAGCTTGAGAATAACATTGCAGGGTATTTCGAGCAGCGCGTATGGGATGAAGAAGGCCGTGAGGGCGATGTTGTGGAGATCTTTGTTCATTCCCGCCACCTTGGCATTGCCGACTGCTCATGCGATCAGCGCTGCGTCTTGCGCGCCCATTAAAGCTACAGACTCACTGTTGGAACGATCGATGAATGACACAAGGTACATGGCGGCGAGGCACGGAATCACGCGCCAATCGGCCTTGCGCAGGATCCGGCAGGTTTCGGCATCGTCGTACGCTGGAAGATCCCCCTCTGGCCTGTCGGTTTGGCTTTCCAGCTGGTGAAGCTCCGGCGCTTTTTCGTCCATGGTGTGGTGGTGAGAGACGTCGGCCGGCGCAACCAGAGTTACTTACGTGTCCAAGGCCGTTCTGGACGGCGTTGCACGACACTCTACGGGGGACAATTGAAAAGTCGATGTTCAAGAGTAGGTTTAGCACCTCGTCACCGGATATTTCTTCTACATATCAGCAATCCATTAAAGCAGTGCAGTTAACCGTCCTTTTAATTCTGGGGTCTACCAAGCAGTGAGGCCGTGTTTCTGTGTTGGTCATGGCAAAGACATGCGCGTCGACTGGCTGTAGGAGCAGCATCCCCAACGAGACACCGCCGACAGTGCTGTTGGCTGAGCCCTCGGAAGCCGAGCTGGCGATCGCTGCTGTTTTACTTTCTACCCCTCATCAATCACAATCCAACCCCAACCAACGCCTCGAAACTACCCCGTACTTGGAGCAACTCCAATGATGATCGGGGTCGTACTACAAACCCAACCGGGTAAATAAACCCGCAAGATGTTCAACGAGATGCAATTATAAGGTATAAAACTGCATGCCCTGCCTTACTTCATGACCGATCAATTAAACGCACCTGTACTTGCCATGTAAGCAAAATACCATACAATGACGTCCTCAGTTACCACAACATTCGCTGCGCCGGAGCCAGTGTACTTGTCACGCCACCGCGACGATGAGCCTGCATCTGCAGCAGAAAAGACTTCCCTTCAGCGCTTGTCGCACGGCGTTACCCTGCAAGGTGTTCCGTCATTTACCTCCGTCGAGTTGCAGCGCCGCTGGATGCTGGAGCATCTCGCGGGCGCATTTCGGGTTTTTGCTAGGAAGGGATACAGTGAAGGGCTAGCAGGCCATATCAGTCTTCGCGACCCAGGTGAGCCAGCGGGTTGCCTCGGCTGGAGTCTCAGACTAATTCCTCATTACAAATGTAGAGCACCATGACTGCTTCTGGACCAACCCGTACGGCTCGATTCCTGATCATCTCTTGAGATGCTAACATTTTGCAGCTATGGTACTCACATTGGATTGATGAGAGTCTCTGATCTCATTCTTATAAATGAGAGTGGTGAGGCCGTCGGAGGTGCGACTCACCTGCCCGCGAACGCGGCCGGGTTTCAGATCCATTCGCACTTACACAAGCGCTATGCCCACATCAACGCTGCTTGCCACATGCACTCCAAGTATGGAAAGGCATATTCTGCATTTGGCCAGCGGCTTGAGATGATTAACCAGGACTCGCTGAACTTCTATGGTGATGCCCATGGAGTGTATCAAGAGTTTGGCGGCGTCGTTCTTACTGAAGAAGAAGGCGAAAAGCTCGCCCAGTGTCTAGGAGAGAAGGGCAAGGGGCTTATTCTCCAGAACCATGGTCTGCTTACCGTAGGACAGACGGTCGACGAGGCCGCCTATCTTTACACCCTCATGGAGAGATCCTGCGAGGTGCAGTTGCTCGCAGACGCGGCAGCAGAGGGCTCTGGCAAGCCAAAGATCATTATTGGGGACAAGGCAGCTCAATTCACTTTTGAGGCAACGAGCGATCCGGTAAGAACCAGGCCGTTTTATGAGACGTCGAGATCAATATTGACCGGTCATGACAGGATGCTCTGTATTGTTCATTCCAACCAGATTTTCAGATGGAAATGAAGCTGTCTGATGGGGACTTTCTCCACTAAGGGTCCAAGAAACAGAGCCTTCGTTCACGACGTTCTGTATCCGGGAGCCCAATGTATGGAAACAAATATGCTTTACGGAATCATCGTGGTTTGTTGACCAGGAACAATAAGCACGCTGATCTGAATTCTCTGCGTGTACGTCGCCACTGCCCCATAACGCTGTCGTGCACCCCTCAGCAAGAAGGCCAACGTCCCTACCCTCTGCAGCTGTAAACACACAAGTGATCATAATATTGCGCACCCAGTCATCTTATCGTCTGAGAGTTACCATATAAGCAGGATTTGAAAGCCTGACACGGTTCATTTCTGTCTAGGCGTAACTATTGACTATATGTGCAAACATTTACCTGGATGAAGATACCCAGAGTTCATGGCTGAGGTTGCAGATGAGCATGCAAAGGGAGAAGCATCAGCCTTTATTTTGCCAGCTTTGAAGTCGTTACTGGTTCCCGTTATAGGCAAGCAGGTTGACGGTACCGCCCTTGAGGCCGTCAATCTTGCCCTTGGTGCCAAGAGCCTTGATGCGCGAAGTCAAGGCAGCCGGGGTGTTGATGTTCTCAAGAACAGCGAGGTAGATGGCAAGGCCAGCAATGTGAGGTGTGGCCATGGACGTGCCAGTGATGGAGTTGGTGGCAGTCGTCGAGCCGATCCAGGTTGATAGGACCTCCTCACCGGGGGCATTGATGTCGACGACTCGTCCGTAGTTGGTGCCCTGCTGGGAGTTCCAGTACCACGCGACCCATTCGGCGTTGACGGCGCCGACGGTGAGGGCGTTGGGGGCACGGGCGGGCGAGACGTTGGAGGCATCCTGGTTCTCGTTGCCAGCCGCAACGACAGACAGAACACCCGAGCGGAAAGCACTCTCGACGGCATCGTCGAAGGCACGGGAGATAGGGCCACCTATAGAAGGCATTAGAGGCAGTGCATGGAGATAACTGTTTGGGACAAGGACAACCTACCGAGGGACATGTTGATGACGGAGCGAGCCTGGCGCTTCTTATTGATGATGTCCTTGACAGCCCACTGGTAGCCGTCAAGGATCACGGAGGTGTCGGCAGTACGACCCTGGAAAACCTTGACGTCGATGATCGATGCCTTCTTGGCCACGCCGTAGCTCTTGGAGGCGATAGTGCCAGACACGTGAGTGCCGTGGCCGAGGGTGTCCTCGAAAGCGCCACCAGCCGCGTTGTAGCCCTTGGACGCACGACCCTCGAACTCGACGTGGGCAGTGTTGACTCCACTGTCGACAACATAGGCGTACGCTCCCTGGCCGGCGCTGCTGTCGTAGATGTAGTCGCGAGAGCCCTTGTTGCGGTGGGAAATTGTGCCGAGGCCGTGAGTCGCGCCGGACTGGGTCGTCAGCCCATAAAGAGTGAAGACCTGGTCCTCTTCAACGTAGGCGACCTGCGGAAGTTAGACTATGCATTATGCTGTGTAGAGTTCTCAGACATACCTCATCATTGTTGCGGATCTCCTCGATGGTGGCATCGTCGAAGTGGCCAGAGTATCCGTTGAACGAGCCAATCTCGTACTTCTTGCCGATGCCAGCGAGGTCGAGGTTGCGGCGGCCAAGGCTGCGAGCGTGGATGTCGCTGACCCACTCGAGGTGAGAGTCGACATCACGGGCGGCGATGCCGTTCTTCAGGGTGATGATGTACTTGCCAGAGCCGGACGGGGCAGGAGCGGCAGCGGCAAAGGGAGCAGCGGCCAGCAGCAGAGCTGCGAGGTTCTTGAGAATGGCCATTGTGTGAGTTGACGAGGTGCAGTCGATGGATGCTGGTTTGAGTGCACTTGAACAGCGAAGCAGACATGGAGGCAGTTTATATAGATTCCTCGACTCTACCTGCGTCACTATCGTGAAGCTGCGTCTGCTCCTACATGTATTCCAGCTTCCTGATTTGCAAGTAACAAGCCACTTAGAGAGCTCGTAGATTGCGAATCGAGACGAACTAGAACGATTGCGGGAGGCCGAGTTGTTCGAGCGTGGCCTATCCTCAGCAACCTTCAACAATCGAGCAGGTGACGTCTATTCGCCATTCTCCCCCATATTGCTGTGCTTGGACTCTGCATGCTCGTATATTGCCCCCTTGCCTAGAAAGTCGTCCGTTCGAGGTCGCCGGACGGGATCCGTGACGGCCAAGCCCCCGGCCCTCGGCGCCCCACGCCGGATGGTACACACGACACTTGCAACTTTCTGTTTTGGGGAAACGGGCTTCGCCCGTTGACCCCCGCCAATCTACAGGGGATCCACTTGACGCCGGGTGTTGCAACTTCTCCTGCTCTAAAGAACAAGCGCGGGATTGACGAGCTTCTTGAATGGGACCTGGTACCGAGCACGAGCTCACTTTGGCTCGTGTCCGAGCGTCGCGAACCAGTCCATGGCCCCAGGGGGGAATAGCCTTGACGAGAACGAACAGTAATCGCCATCGTTCCAACACTGCAATTGGCTATTGATCGTCGGCATCTATGGATAAGCTTACTCAATTGCGCGGCACTCAGCAATCACTCTCGGCCGACGTAGCATTACCACCGTCGGCGGGCTCCGGATCTGCGCCACTGCGCCGCCACAAGACAAGTTAGACAACCCAGAACCTTGAAGGATGCCACCCTTTCTTGCGGCGACCTAGTGATTCTGGGGTCGCTCATTCACTGCTGACAGACCACCGACACTGGCGAAGACAATGCCAGGCATCCCAACTGCCGACAACATTGGCGAAATTGGTGTCGTGTTCGAAGACCGCGCGGAGCTGCTCCGCCTCCTGGTCTTGCTGCCAGAGCGCACTGTAGGTCGAAAGTCGGATGGTTTTGCTTTGGGTGACCTCGCCAGCGCCTCACTCAGAGCACGGATGCGGCCGCCTCTGACCCTGCGGAGGAAGTCCAAATCGTCCCGAATGTCCGAGAAGACAGCATTGTATCGCTCCACGCCATCTGCAGGGGGAGTTTTAACTTTGTCTCGTCTCTTCTTGCGGGGTAGCCGCAGCCACCTCGGCCAATACTGCCTGAATGCTTCGACGCATTTTCGCAGCACCGCGTCGGGAAACAGCCTGATTAGAATGCCAATAGGGATTGACCCGAAGCCGAGGCAGATCGATATGGCCCACTGCGTTCCCGTGAGGCGGACGACGACGAAGGCTTCCCCGCCAACGTAAATGATGATCAGCTGGCCGCCGACCATGATGGCCATCATAAACATGAACATCCAGTTGCGGTGCAGTCCTTCAAAGATGTTTAGTCTGTTGTCGATGCGCCGGCTGTTGATGAGCTTGAAGATCTGCATGAAGACAAAGACGTTGAAGATCAATGTCCGGAGCTGCTTCTCTGGGTAGCCAAGAGTACTGGGCCCAGCAAACCACAGCACAAAACAGACAATCAGTTGATAGATGGACTGGCCGAGGATCATCTTCCACATGGTCAAAGTGATCAGCGAGGCCCCTCGCGGCTCCGGCCTTCGGTGGAGGGTGCTCTCCGACGGAGGGTCGGTCGCGAGCGCCAGGGCCGCAAACGTATCCATGATGAGGTTCACCCACAGCAATTGCACGGCGTTCAGCACCGAAGTCTCTTCACTGTCTGAAACAGCCGTGACGAATGTGATGATGACGGCGGTAATGTTGACGGTGAGCTGGAACTGCAGGAACTTCTTGACTGAGTCATTGATGGCTCTTCCCCAGCCAAGGGCCTTGACGATTGACGTAAAGTTGTCGTCCATCAAGATGATATCGGAGGCTTCTTTAGCTACCTCGGTGCCGGTGATGCCCATGGAGAAACCGACATCGGCCGCCTTCAGCGCTGGCGCATCGTTGGTTCCGTCGCCGGTGACTGCGACAATCTCCTCGAGGTCCTTCAGCACCTTGACGAGAATGCGCTTGTCTTCTGGACTGGATCTGGCCAAGACACAGAGGCGCTGAGCAACGGATGCCTTGTCTTCGTCGGAGAGGCAACGAAACTGTTGCCCCTCCATGACCGAGCCTTGCTCATCATGTTGATCCGCCAAGATGCCACATTCCCTGCCAATTGCTCTCGCAGTCTCGATGTTGTCGCCGGTAACCATCTTCACTGATACCGATGCCTGCCGACAATCTTCAATCGCGGCAGGAACCCCTTGTCGCACGGGGTCTTGAATGCCCACAACCCCAATCCAGGTCATATCGCGGAAGATATCGGTGAGCCCGACCTCAGTGGACTCCGCCTCCGCCTCCGGCCCGGGGCCCTCGCCCGCGTTGGGTGGCCATCCGTTGAAGTCGCGATACGCGAGAGCCAGAGTCCGCAAGGATCGCGAAGCGAAGCCAACAATGGTGCGCGTGACATCCTCTTTTTGCGTTTCCGAGAATGGCACGCGAGAGGGATGGTCAGTCACGTCATCCAGAGCGCCTGTACATTGAGCCAAGACAATCTCCGGGGCGCCTTTGACGAACAACCGATACCGTTGGCTGTGGGTGACACTGTCCTGCTCCGGCATCTGGACCACGGCGCCCATGCACTTGAGGCTGGAGTTGAACGGGAAGAGCTGGTGTAAATGGCTGTTTGCTCGCTCGACTGAGACCGGCCCGAGACCAAAACATCGACGGGCCCAATCGAGGAGAGCTGTCTCTGTTTTCGTTCCGACAAAGGCCTGTTTCTCACCCTCCTTGCCCTCGAATGCGGTGGTGTTGATGGCGATGCTCACTCTCAACAGGCTTTGGAACTTCTTGTCAAGCCTTGATGTAAGTTGATTCAGTTGGATGTTTACCGATTGCCCAGGTCCTTCGCAATGTGTTGCTGACGGTCCAGATACTCCCTCTTTCTTGGGATCTTCTGCCTTGATGCCGGCGCTATCCCCGCCTTGTCCGAAAAGCAGTGCGGGTCTGCTACCCAGCGCGCCTGCTACCACAGTCATGACGTTTTCCGTCAAGGTACCGGTCTTGTCCGAGCAAATGACGGTAGCATTGCCCATGGTTTCGCAAGACTGGAGGTGGCGGACCAGATTGTTCTCGCGCGTCATCCGCCTCGTCGCAAAAGCCAATGACAGTGTCACCGCCAGGGGTAGGCCTTCTGGAACGGCCACGACAATGATAGTAATTGACGTGATGAGAATTTGGAGAAAGTTTTGGCCTTTTTCTTCTGGCGATTCCTCGTTTCCGGGTAGTCGGGCGAGGAACTCGATGAGGAGCACGACGAAGAGCAAACAGCCTGCTCCACTGCCGAGTTTCGCGATGTAACCTAAGGAAACAAGCTCGCATCAGCGTGAACCAGACGCACTCATGGACAGAGCATAGGATGAGGCCACTCACCGGCCAAGACGTTCAGCTTAGACTGCAAAGGGGTCAGCCCAGGGTCCTCCCTCAGCAACATCATGGTTCTGCCGTGGCTAGAGTTTTGTCCGACGGCGGTAACGAGAAGTTTCCCGACGCCATCCAGGACTCTTGCGCCGGAAATGATGAATGGATCCATCTTTCTCAGCCGCGGTGCCTTGTCGTGAAGAAGCTCCTGGAGGACATCATCGGCGGGTCGTTTCTTCACGATGTCCGACTCCCCAGTAGCTGAAGATTCGTCGCAGCTCAAGTTGTGCCCGTCAATGAAGACCCCGTCAGCGGGGACAACGTCGCCCGGCTCCATGAGCATTACGTCGCCGACCAACACGTCATGAACGGACAAAGTCATGGGGTTGCCTGAGCGGATGACCTTGACGAGTCGGTCTTCCTTCTTCCGGTTCAGTGCTCGGAACTGCCGTTCCTTTTGCCAGTCGTTCAGCGCACCGACGAGAACAACGATGGCAATCGCCACGATGATGGCAACGCCTTCCACCCATTCGACCTTGGCGCCTTCATGGTGTGTTTGTCCGAATGTTTGGTACAAGCCGAGGGCCAGGGAGACAACAGCTGCCACGCTGAGCAGGATCAGAACTCGGTCTTGTAGGGCGATCCAGGCCAGCTGAAGAAACGACTTCGACTTTCGCTCTGGCAGCACATTTTCGCCAAAGATTCGTTTCCTGTCTGCGAACGCATTGGAGCCTTTGCCATCGTGCTGGCCAGGCTCTGAGCGGCCTTGCCGACCAGGTTCATGGGGACCTCCTCTTGATGTAGTCGAGACTGCCTCCTCCAATGTAATCGGATCGGATATGCACCCTTCATCGATCCCCAGGCCCGAATGGCGATCTGTTTTCAGGCCTCTTTCAAGCCCCGCGAGACCCCCAAGAGCGGTAAAAGCAGTCAGACTTTTGGGGTTTATCAGTTTCTCTAGATGATCGGGGCCGAACGCAAAAGGATTTCCTTCAATGCTGGGAATGTCGCGTGGATTTAGCTGGAGTGTGGATGAAGGCGACGGAGGGACATCGCCATGAAGGGTCGAATCGTCGGGACGAAGGAGATGTCTTTCGCTGGACTTCGTGTCGGTGGAGGCGGTCTTGGTCAAGTTCCCCGACGTGCTTCTCGACCGTGTATGAGGAATGTCTAGCGTGTTATGGTCCTCCGGAGACGGAGGATCGGGATGATATGTGTTGGACTGATCTGTGCCTGTTAGCCTTTTCGCCTGCTCCTTCCGACACGGTTACGCCGTAATGGTGCGCGGGAAGGCTAGCTACCATAGTCAGCTTCGCCATTTGGAGGAGTCGAGGTTCCTGCGTCGGGCGGGACGATCTTCAGTGACGGTACTTTTTTCTGCGGACCCATCGCGTCTCATCTTGTTGTGTCCCAATCTGGCATGCTTAGTTTGTGGAACCTGTAGGACCTTTGTGTACGGATCAACTCGACTTATAAGCAGAGTCCGTAGATCTGCTGGGAGGCGATAGCATGGAGTCGAATGACGCTGCATTAACATGTCATACATGACAAACGTGGATGGCACGTCACAATTCTTGCCATCGGACCTCACCTCTAACGCTGCTCTGAGGTCCAGACGATCCTCTGGTCGCAGGGCACGGCGAAGCTTTGGGCTACTGCTGAGGCGTTCTGCCACTGCTCTTGGCAGGCCTGCGTGATTGGCGTGGGGCTGCATCTTTGTCTGGTTGTGGAGGCGCAGCGCTGCCACAGTCGTGCAAGGCTGGTAGCCCGAATCGCGGATTGACCCGATTTCATGAGCCTGTTTGAACCTCAAAGACACTTGCCTTGGTCCCTATATCGCCCGCATCAGCTGATTTAGCGCGCGCGCGCCGGGTTTGCCGCGCTCGGGAGCTGCAGTGAGGGAGGCCCCTGAGGGGAGATTGATAGTTGTCTCAGAGCACAAACACAGCACTGAAGCGGCTGTGAGCATCAGGAGACAAGAAAACTTACTCAGCGGAGTGTCGCAGACACAGAGGCGTCCGAGTGTTGACGGCAAGCGCTGCATGTGACGTCGAGTGTTTAATAGACGGTTTCCAGTGAGATCTCTTCGCCCACTCGCGGGCCTGCTGTTAGCGCCTGCTGCAAGGTGCTCATAAGGGCACGTCCCACGGCTGCACGCCTGCTCGCTCACTGGAGTGCTGCCGTCCAACTACTTGGTACGCTGACCCAGCGGAGACCAAGCATGGAAAGAAGCCTGTTCCTGCACCGTCAGCCCAAGGGCCCCACTTTCTAGCGACAGTCGCCGGCATTGGCAACGCGTAATTCATTTCACTGTACATTATAGCAGACGCGACGCTGGTCGCCGTGAGGAAAGGGCTGGAACCTGGCAGCCCTGACATCATCCACTGGGCAGCCATGCTTGGAGCCTCATCGTTGCCTGCAATGCGCTCTGGACACGCCCTTGTCTTAACTCCAGTCGTCTTGTATGTCTTACACACACTTGACAGTGGCACCACTCAACGCGGGTTGACGTAACGCCGCACGCATGGCCTTCTCGTCGCCGCCGTCACTGAGCCCCTTCACATGGTCAGGCATCTTGTGCCACATAAACTCGTTTCGCCAGGGCCGGCTGCTAATTGCGTTCCACAGCATGATGCTTTTCACTCAGTCCGCCACTTGACTGACGCTACGTGACCATGGGACTCCGGCACGTTGGAGACTGGTCGATGTTCTGGGCTCGACTGCTGCGTTCTTCGTACAGCGGCCACGCAGCGCTTACGAGGAACAATGACGAGTCGTAGGCGCAGAGTCGACAAGTCGAACAAATCCCTTCAATCGCGTCGGCGTGCAAGTCACCGCCTGCACCAAGTACAATGGTTGGCCGCAAGTCGCAGAGTCAAATACATGTAGCTTAGCATGCTGGACAGTGAGCACTGAGCAGCACTTGCTCGTCGAGAAAGCCGGAGCCGAAGCCCCCTGTTGTTGTGCTCGTGTGCGGCACATGCACCGAGTGGATCAACGCGATGCATGACCGAGGGAGCAAATGAAAGGCAAGTCTGTTTTGCTGGTCGTGGGTCTTGCTGGTCGCTGACGCCAACGGTCAAGATGAGACTGGTCTCCCACCACACTGCAAAGAAGTCGAGAGACCTCACGCAGCACCGCGCTGCTCACAGCATTGCATTCTATACTAGCTCACAGCCTTTTCTAGAGAAGCCTACGCCTTGGCTACACTCCACGTGTTTGATACTCAATTGGCAGGCGACCCTGAAGGCAAACGTTACCTGACGCGCACTCACGATCAGGGGAGATGGATACTCGCCGTCGCACCGTCACTGCAGCAGTGTCTATGAGACAGTCGTTTGGGGGCAACGACGAGTAGGGCTGGTACGTCGACATTGACTTCGCAGACTGCCTCTCCATGGCAGGCCACAAAATGGCTGCGACTCAGAGAGTCTTCTGGTCGCACGTTTTCGATCGACTCTTAGGCCCCAAGCCTCCGAACCTCGTCGTCATCGATTCGACAAGCCCCGAAACTGCGCAATAGGCAAAGACGCACACTGCGGTGCGTCATGAACCGCCCCGGATGTCAACCAGCCCCTTGACGCACTTCACGTGTACATCAGCGCGACGAAGTGAGCCTGACAGGGCCGATCTCAGTAGCTCAGGGAGTCTGGGACATGGAGTTCTATAAGGCCCCAATTTCTGCCACCGCACAAATGGAGAGGATACAAGGCTCGGTGGCGGAACAGATCCGAGTTGGGGCAACCCCAGTCATTCACACGTGGTGTCCGTGAAGAGATCAGGACTGCATGAAAGGAGACTCACTGACCAGAGACACGAAATCTCTGGACAAGCTTCATGCTGGAGCCACGAAGAAATTCGAGCGCTGATGGAGAGCTTTTTGGCAGCGATTGGCTCACATTGCCGGAGCAGCTCCATGAAGCCTCATTGGCCAGGTGTAAGTCCCGGCTGTATCTGCGCGTGTTTATTGACATTGGACCCACCGTTTGACCACAAAGAAAGCTGACCCATGAGCAGAGATCCTGCAAGGGTCCTTTCACTCCGATTGTTCCCTGCCCTGAGCCGTTGGAGCACTGGGAAACCTACCCGTTGAAGCATCTTGTTGCGGTGGGACCCCAACGACCTCGACGTTGAACATGACCAAGCAGGATTGAGCCGTACCTTACGTTCAGGTGAGTGCTCAGGACTCGCCAAACTTCCCTACACCCTCTTTGACACTCTCCTGACAAAACAGAGACACAACGCACGATCACGAAAGCACGTCGCGGTCGTGAGCTCACATATGGCCCACCTATAGCTGGCTTCACTGTGCGATTTTAACGGAGCGGATGCATCACCGACTTGAGGAACGGACATACTCTCTACATATACCCTCGGCCCCCCCCTGGCAGCATGCAACGTCCAGCACAGGACGATTCACACCCACCCTCTCGCTCCGACCAGCCCCCGAATCGAAGTACGCGACGCGGAGCCAAAGATCATACGCCTAGACCCATTCGACCGGCCGCAAGGACCTCTCAATCTCCAGTGCCATTGGACAGCTTGGAAAGGACGCTCACAAAGCGGCAGCGGGTGGGCACGCGCAAGGCTTGCGACCACTGTCGGCTTAAGAAGATACGCGTAAGCTCTGGGTCGGAGAGATGCCACGACCGTGCCCACATCATCTCCCGGCTATCCGGACTCTGGCTTTCTGACATTCTTGTACAAAGTGCGACGGCGAGTCCCCAAGGTGTACACCTTGCTTGGTTCGAGATGTGGAGTGCTACTACCGGGCGGACCGGCCTCGAGAGGACCAGATATTTGCAGGCTTGATACAGCGGCTCCGGACCCTACCCGAGAATGAGGCAATTGAGCTTCTCCGACGATTGAGGTCAACAAATGATCTAGAATCTGTACTTTCCTCCGCGGCCGGGAACGCGAGCAACCAATACCGACCATCCGACATAGAGACGGCGCGAGCGCATTCACCACCGACTAATTCGCGGATCGAGTTCGAACTATCTGTGAAATATCGCATCGTATATCCACCACACACATTTCGGCACCCTATACATGACATGCACACGCTGTTACAGCAGCCAGCACTGCCGTTGTCCCACCTAGATGGTCCTCCCATCCATGAGGCAGACGAGCTAGGGTTTCGGGATCTGCCAGCGAGCGGACCAAACTTAGCACAGAAATACTACGACGAGCGGTTGAATCGGCTTGAATTAAGCAACTGGACGAGCGTAGCAATTGCCGACGATTTCGCCGCGAGCGTGTTGTCAAACTACCTGGAGCTCAATCATCCCGTGCTAGGCCTCTTCGACGCGGGGCTATTTCTACGGGACCTCACCAACTTACAGCACGACTTTTGCTCCACCTTTCTCGTCAACGCCACACTTGCTTTCGCCTGTGTACGTTAATCGCCATTGATGGCCTCTGCTTCGGGGCATTTGTCGATCTCCTACACTAACGGTTGTCAGCAATCGTTTACTGGGATCGATCTACGCGCCGCTCCATTGGCGTCAGCTTTCATTCGCGAGGCAGAAAGACTTTGGCGTTCGGAAGGATTACTTGACTCAGCGCTGAATGTAGCATCCATTCTTATGCTCAGTGTGAGCATACATACGTATGGCGGAGACCTCAAGGTCACAGACTTGCTGGACGGCGGCCGCTGCATGGCTCAAAGGCTGGGCATGTTCGGTCCTCAACTGAGAAGCCCAAGCGGTGTCGGCTCAGGTGAAGTGTCCGTAGAGCACCAGCGCTCCATGGCACACATTGCGCATGGGGCGTACGCCTGGCTTAGGTGGGTTTACCCAGCGCTCTGATCGATGATCACCTGGAGCTGATCAGAGAGCAGCCTCTGCACTTTCTACTACCCACAGAACCCAACGCACTTGCCTCCCTTGCGGCCCGCCACAGGTCCAGACAGCTTCGGCAAGTCAGCAAGCGAGCCATTAGGCATACCTGCGGAGGCGACTGAACTACCGGCGATCGTGGACAGCAAGTTCACCGCGCTTTGCCAGTTCTGGTCCATCATGCAGGTAGTCGCGACCACCTACTTTGCCTCACGACCGAGGTCGAAGTCTGTTCGTGAGCCAATACCTCTCCACTTTGCCGAGTCAACATACCGAAAACTCCTAGCCTGGGCAAACACACTCGAAGGCGCCATGTCTCGCGAGAACGGCGGCCCAGAGCACATTTTGGTCTTCCAGTGAGTGGCACCTTGCCTCAATCCTGGTCTTGCTCACCCATCCCGCAGTATCTTGTTTCACTGCGCAGTCATCCGCATTTTCATTCCGTTTGTCAACGACTCGAAGGAAAACCGGCTTCTTTCCTTTTCCTCAACAGACAGCTCTGTCAAGACAGTATTGCATGCGTCAATCAGCCAGCTCAAGGGCCTCCTTCTCGACTGCCGACAGGACAGGAGGAAAATGCTGCTTATAGCGCATACCAACGCCGCCATCCTCCACGTCAGTAATGCCATGCTGCTGGATGCCGCCGATCGTGCTGGCCGTGGGAGCCCGCAAGATCCCGATTGTCGACCCTACTTCCTCCTCTGTCTCGCCAACTGCCGCGACATGTATACCTGCTTTCCAGTGTTTGGCTCGGTTGGACGTGGGCTGCTTGCCATGGCGATGAGAGACGGCGTGATGGACAGCGAGAGCGCGAAACGTCTGGTCGCTACTCTAGACTCCCGTGGCACCCATCACGACCCTACGGCTCGGAGAGCGTTGGGCACTTTTACGATTGACTTTGCACTCGCTATGAGGGAACCGGAGCATGCAGAAGCAGCAACTCTAGCAAGGCAGTTTGATGAGCTGACGTTATTCGCCGACCTGACGACAGGAACGTGGTGAAGGGTTGACGCATCACTACTTGCAAGGGTATGGCCTCTCAAGCCCTTGCAAGTTCCCGCTGAGGCTTCGGTGATCTTGGATGTTCATGGGTGGAGTATGTGGGACGTATCGAGCTGGTTGCTTCGCTGGCAGAGAGTCAAGCACCCACAGTTGAACTGCAGTGCCATGGTGAGCAAGTGCAATACGCACGGCATGCTGCATCGTTGGGCAGAGTTCGAAGGACCAACCGAGTGTAGCAATTGTGACATAACACCATGAGGAGCCTGGATCACACGTCGAAGTGACATGGACGCTTGAAACCAGTGCAGGGCTACTCTACCTGCTGTCTGGGGACAGCGGCACGCCTAGAGCAAGGGTTCGTGGAATACTTGCGAGTCGCCAGGGTGCTCTCTAGTATGGTCAATGTGTAGCAGAATGAAACGTAGCACAGAGCCTCATGTTGGCCTGCTTGGCATGCGTATGGGGGACTTGTGCCTTGTCAGCGCTCAGCCAAGGAGGATCAAACCCGGATCTGTTAGCATTGCTCTGCCTCTGATAGCCAACTTGATCTCCCTTCCTCTTGCGCTCCTGTCGCGAAGGGCGCAAGCAACAAGTTTGGTCCGTAAATCTTATATTATTTAATGTTTTGTTCTTCCTTCGGCACACTAACAGTAGAAAGGTCCTGCAAGACAGCCGATTCACACATGATGTACTCGAGACTGCCCGAAGACGATGAAAGAGACTTGGATAATGGCACCACGCTGTCTGGAGAGTACGAGCCTGGCCTCTAAGGGTATTGCTAAAGGACAAATTCAGCACTGTGGCCGCCCAGAAAGGTCGGAGTACTCGGCATTCTCAACATAGCTCTATTTTGTGTCTCAGCATGCTGTCTGGCACTGTCATTAGCCATCTACAAGCACTCTTCAGACGTCGACGCCACAAGAGTTATCCGAGAAGTCACATTCTATTGTACGTGCAATAGAGCCTTCCTCGACATCTTACTTATACCATTATTTTTCTTCCAGCACCGCCAATAGTAAAGACGCTTTCGCCGAAGTGGGAGCCCAAGAAGTTCGTGACTTACCCGATCACGTCGAACAAGTCGGTGTTCCGCCAAGATCCAAGCCCATTAGTAGACGAAGCATGGAATCGAATTGCAGATCTGGGCTTAATCACTCTAACCCACCAAGACGTACATCAACTAGGCAAAAGTCAGTCTACGGTTCTAAAAGCACCAGATGATTGGGGCGTAGGCAGTGATGCATATCTAGGTCAGATTGATGGCATCCACCTCCTACACTGCTTGAACTCTATGCGCAAGGGATTGCACTATAATTTTCCCTACTACTATCCTCACGGACACTCTGGAGCTTACCGAACTCATCTATCGCATTGCCAAGAAGCTTTGGCGCAGTGGCTTATGTGTCATCCTAGTCTCGAGCTTCTCACGTTCAACTGGGTAGAGAAGCATAAGACACCATTCCCAGATTTCGACATAACCCGGATGTGTTTGGACTTTGACAAGCTGCTCAATTGGCAAGACGAGCACCGGGTTCAGTCTGTGAACAGCGGGAAGTGGAAAAAATTGCGGGCTCCTGGGGATGTCGTTCCGAATTCCTCGCCGGTCCTGAACGAAGAGGCGCAGAATGAGACTTGGATCCACGTAAATGGCTGCTCCGGGGGCACAGTGCTGAGAGACTAGGGCAGAATGATATATAGGCGTGCTCTTAAGGTAGAGACCAATACAAACGGCCCGAGGATTTTGTCAATGGCCCATCGAGGGAGCAAACTGCATGTGGCAGTTAAATAGCCGCACCTCAGTGTCAGGTCGACAAGGATCGCAATGCTGCAGTGCGGGATGTCGTCATGAAATTGCCGACCAGCCAACGAATGCTCATGAGTGAGTCATACAAGCACCCAAAAGTGGCTTGGACCATTTCGCTGCGTAATGAGCACGGGGCAGTTGACGGTCAGGGGCGCTGGGACAAAGATCGCACCCTATAAGTGTGTCACGCGCCAACTGCGGGGTTCACACTTCTCGCGGCGCATTGCGAGCCGACCACGAACTTACAACTTCCTCACGTATTCTGGCATCAGGTGTTAGGCCTTCGCAATCCTCTGAAAAATGACAGTATTGTCTGACAAGCTCTCTTTGGTGACATGCTGGTGCTTGGGAATAGTGGTGTTCTTTACGCTCCCTGGTCTGAAGCATTTTCGGAACCGTCTCGGAGCCCAGGAGACAACCGATCACATATATCAGGACGAAGATGGAGTGGCGACGCATGAGTCAAAGCCGCGACCCCGAGGGGGCGACTTTGACTCATTTATCGTTACTGGAGGTATCGTTGGCTTATCCACAGCTATCTTCACGGCGAAGACATCTGTGGACTGGCTCTACGCGGGAGCATGGGTTCGTTTACTGTCTTAACCTCGTACCGTTCAACAAGTTCATACTTTCACCAGGCTTTGGTTACCGTTCAAGCCACAGTGATGTCGCGAGAGCGCAATACCCGCTCGAGATATCTGCTCGGTATCAATGGTGCGATCTCGGCCGGTATCATGTCTCTCAACACGCTTTGTTCCGGTATCTACTCGCGACTTGACGACAGCCGCTTGGCCTGGACGCAGGCGGCTGTTGCTTTATACATGCTATGCGTGTTCATGTCGCTCCCACGCAGGCCCAGTGTCTATTTCCGGGGAAAGCCGGTCGACGAGGCAAATGGAGCGTCTCTACTTTCCAAGCTAACCTTTACCTGGTGCCACTTGCACCGCCCGGGAGCTGGAATACCTGAGCAGATACATCTTCAAGACCTGCCGGTTGTCGCACATAAGTTACGAGCCCAAACCTTGCAAGAACGATACCAAACTAGAGCCTCGGGCTCAAGCCTATGGAGACAGATCATGACAATGTTCCTACCCGAGTTTCTCCATCAATGGCTTCTTGTGCTCCTCAAGGCACTCTCCGAGTTTGGAACGCGTCTGGCTCTGTATGAGCTCCTAAAGCATTTGGAGCGTGGGACTAAAGATGTGCATATGCTATGGATGTGCGCGTCGGGCCTTAGTGTCGGCTTGTTGACCGAGGCTATTGTGAAAGGTTGGCTCACATGGGTCACCCATATGAAGCTTGAGATGCCTATTATTGTCCTTTTGAACACGCTTGTGTTCGATAAGATGCTACGCAAGCAGCTTGCAAACGGCACGCAACAGAGCCAGAGTGAGGGTACTGCTGACAAACAACAACAACAATCCATGCCTTCCCTGGCTGACATCATATCAAATGAAAGGTATGCGCGGATGTTCTTCGCTGCACAAGCATTTACTCACCGTCTGCCTAGTTCAACTCTTTCTCAAGCTTGCGGCTTCAGCCATCACTTTCTAATGGCATCTTTTAAACTGCTTCTTGATGTGATGTATCTCACCCAGGTTCTCGGTATAAAAAGTATACTCTCTGGGGCCGCCTCTGCTGCCGTATTGTTCCCCATATCGACTAGATTATCCGACCAGCACCGACGCTTGCAAGACGAGTTGTCCAACACGCATGCCAGGCTATCCAACGTTGCTTCAGAGGCCCTGAACGGCCTTCGTCAATCCGACTGTCATCGACGGAGCGAATATGGGAACGTAGGATTCTTGACTTAAGATCGCAGGAACTCAATAAGCTCTGGAAAGCGGGACTTACGCTCGCTTGGTTGACCCTGGTGGCCAATCTTGGCCCGATCTTCTTGGCATCCGTGGCACTGTCCGTTCATGCGCTCGAGAGGGGCAATCTCCTGCCTTCAGTAGCCTTTGCATCGCTGAGCCTGTTTGACAATCTTCACGACGTCTTTCGCAGCTTGCCTCTCATGGTCTCAAATATGCGTGAGTCTTGGGTCAGCTGTCAGCGAATCCAGCGATATCTCGACGAGCCTGAGCAGCGGCTGACTGCTGTACCGCACGATACTATATTTATGGAAAACGCTAGTTTAACATGGCCAAGCAACAACAACACTCCACATCCGCCCATAATAGGTTTCGAGTTAAGCAATGTGAGTCTAGCATTTCCGAAGGCCCAACTCAGCATCATCACTGGAGAAACAGGCTCGGGGAAAAGTCTCTTGATCACTGCAATACTGGGGGAGGCCACCGTTGAGGCCCAACGATTTGGCAGACCAGCGTCAGAGACTGCAGATAGCCAGAGTGCCGGGAAACCGACGACAGCGGAGCAGATTGCTCTAGTTTCGCAGCCTCCATGGATCGAAAACACCACACTGAGGGACAACATCTTGTTCGGATATCCTTTCGACGAAGCACGATAGCGCAAGACGCTTTTTGCGTGTGCGCTAGACGAAGATCTCAATGCCCTTCCGGATGGAGATCTTACCAAGGCAGGAATCAAGGGGGCCAACCTCAGTGGAGGCCAGAAGTGGAGACTGGCTTTGGCAAGGGCACTTTATTCACCAGCGAAGGTTCTTGTTCTGGAGGATGTACTCTCTGCAGTTGATCCTCCCGTCGCAAGGTGGTTGTGCGACCATGCACTAACAGGCGAGCTTGCGCAAGGGCGGACGAGAATCTTGGCCACCCACAAGCCTCACCTTTGCGTCAGCGTAGCGAACTACCTGGTTTGTGTTCGCGACCGTACTGCGGCTGGGAGCAGAAACCTAGAACTCTTGAGACCGGCGCAAGCGACTGCGAGCAGCTGTGCAGAAGTGCCAACGGCCACATTCTGCGACTCCAAGGCCACGCCAAAGACAGCTTCCCCACGAGATAAAAAGCAACTTCTCGGCGTTACCCGAAGCAATTGGCAGATTCTTGCAGCATATATCTCGGCTAGCAGCGGAATCCGAGCCTACATCTTGGGCATGCTTGTAACTTTGTGTCACCAAGCCTCGTCAGCGAGCCACTCCTTGTGGTTAGCGAGGTGGACTGGGCAACGAGACGGAGACAGACCCAGGTCGCTGTCCTATGGCATTTCCGTGTACCTTCTTCTCTCTCTGGCAAACGGTTTCTTCGTTTTCGTTCAATCGCTCGCCTTCAACAGTATCGGCGTCGCCGCCTCCAGTAGATTATTCCAGCAAATGATCGGCAGCGTGCTCAGTTCGCCTCTAGAGTGGATCAGCAATACGCCCCTGGGCAGGGTTCTGCATAGCCTTGGAGACGACATGTATCTGTTGGACCATCGGCCGGCTGCGCTAGAGGTGAACAATCTCATGAATGATGTCGCGCGTCTGACAGTAATTGCCCTGACTAGGTAAGCCATCTTGACACTACATGACGGGTACTGAGGCTGATTCTTCAAAAGCTTCGTGGCGTCGCGATACACCATTGTTCCCAGCATCTTTCTCGGCATATTCTATCTCAATGTTACTTCAAAGCATTTCGACCTGTCTCGTAAGATCAGGAGGCTCATTCCGGCTGCTCACCGCCCAATGCTTCAGCATGCGAGTGCGACCGAAACAGGTTTGTTGACGATTCGGGCGTTCGGAAGACAGGCGTTCTATCAGGAGCATATGTACGACCTGACTGATGCTGCCACAAAGGTGGGCTGGCACCTGGCCCTCGGCATCAGATGGATGAACTTTCGCCTGGATTTAGTTGGGGCTGCGTTCGTCGCCACGACTGTGGCAGCGATGGTGCTTCAGAAGTCCGACGCTGCGACGGCAGGACTAGCCATCACCACGGCATTGCACCTGACAAAAACTATCTCCGGCACGTTGAACAGGATTGGCATTCTACATATGGGCTTGAACGCCATCGGCCGCGTCCTGGACCTGACGGAAATACCAACAGAGACCAAAGAAGGGGACAACCCTCCAGAGAGCTGGCCCACGGAAGGCGCTGTGAAGGTCGTGGGCCTAACAGTTCGGTACGATCCAGCATCTCCCCCAGCGCTTAGAGGGGTTGGCTTTTCGCTGCAGCCCCGCCAGCGCCTGGGAGTCCTCGGCCGTACCGGAGCTGGGAAAACAAGTTTGGCCAACGCGTGTCTCCGCTTCATTGACGTCCCACCAGGAATGGTGTTCATAGACGGCATTGATATCTCGACAGTGAAGTTGGCGAGACTGCGTAGCGCCGTCGCCATAGTCCCTCAAGATCCGTTTCTGTTTTCTGGCACACTGCGCTCCAACGTCGATGTCTACGGCGATAAAAGCGACGAACAATTACAGTCCGCCTTACACCGAGTATGCCTCGTTTCCGACGAGCACAACAACGAGAAGTTCGCCAGTCTTGACATGGTCATACACCCCGGAGGCACGAACATTTCCCACGGACAGCGGCAGTTGGTATGCTTGGCACGAGCGTTGCTGGCGCATTGTCGCCTATTGATCTTGGATGAAGCAACGAGTGCCATCGACAGCATAACTGATGCCGCAATCCAGAAGATAATACGCAAAGAATTCTCGGAAGCGACGGTCATAGTCATCACGCACAAACTTGCTAATGTAGCTGACTTTGACGCGCTTCTTGTGTTGGCTGATGGGAAGGTAGCAGGGTTTGGCCCCCCTGCTGAGATCATGGCCAACGGCGGCACAGGCTTGGGGCCAGAATAATGCTCCAGTATCAGGAATTTCCTCTCTTGGCCCCTGGGATGGAGAGCCAGCACAGCCGGAAAGCCGGCTGCTGGAAGGCTCCCTCGAACCGTTTATCTTCTCCCGAGTAAAGCATCAATCTGGTTAACTGTTGAAGCTACATGTATGCACTACCGTACTCCTTCGATCTAAGCATCAGGGCCGTTTGGTTTGAAGACGACCTTATTCAGTTCTCCACGCTCAAACTGATTCAGTGCACTGGCGTAGGACTCATCTAGACCTGGCAGTACCAGATCAACAAAGCCCATCTCCACGACCAACTCTTTGTTGCGGACCAGCGTCCTGAGGGCATCCTCAAAAACAGCCCGCACAGGACAGCGCCCAAACTGAATATGTATGTCCTTGTTATAGCAATCAGATGCACTGAACGGCATTTCTCCGTTATGCACTCCTGGCCAAAAAATTAGACAGAGCGCGTGCAAGTTGGGGATCACTCACCGATGGAGCTAATCTTGCCACCGGGACAGACCATATCGTATGCAGTCTTTAACGCAGGAGAAAGACCGACGGCTTCAATGACAGCGTGCACGCCTTCGCCGTCGGTAGCTTTCCTGATCTCTGCGACGACATCCACCTCCTTGAAGTTGAGGGGGATGCAGCCGAGACTCCGTGCCTTCTCGAGGCGACCGGGAATGGAGTCGACGGCGAATATGCGGGCAGGCTGGTACTCTCTGGTAGAGATGATTGAGCACAGTGCTACAGGTCCGCAACCCAAGACGGCGATGTTCATGTCTTTCCACCTGGTCTCTGGCGTGTCGGCGAAAGCCCTCTTGGCTCCATTATATCTACATCATGGCATCAACACCTGAATCTCTGCGTCGAACTTGGCATTGCTTACCCAGCTGGGAAGATGTCAGTCATCAATATCGCCAGCTCTCCTGCCTCTAGCTCTTTAGGTAGGTGATATAGGGATGTATCGGCCAAGGGAGCGCGGAAATACTGCGACTGTGACCCGTCTAGAGAAGGGCCACCGTAATTTCTGCCTTGTTTGCATCGTCCATGGACTCCTCGATCGCAGTTAAAGCACGCATCGCTATCAGTCGGGCCATGGTCAGCAGGAATTGGAATGCACATATCAAGTTGGGTCTGTACCAGCTGGTATAGAATGGGGCAATGACGCGATCGCCCTTGACAAACTTCCGGACTTCGTGTCCTACCTCGTGCACGATACCTACACCTTCGTGTCCGCATATATACCCAGGCTCCATGTTGGTCTTTGAATGGCCTCGATACCGGTGTAGTTCGCTGCTGAGAGTCAGTGCCCAAGTCCATTCATTTTGGTAGACGATTTCTTGACGAGCGCACCTCCCGCAAAGCGCGGCTGAGGTGGTTTTAATGATGACATCTGTTTTATCTACAAGCTGAGGGACTACATGTAGGAAATGAGTGAGCTGCGATGAGCTTCGATCACTGTCAAGGCTGGGCAACAACGATACTTACTCGGCTTTTCTTCTAATCTCACATCGAATGGACCTCGAAATACAAGCCCTTTCATCATCTTGATAGCTGAATGGAAAGTGGTGGCAAGCTATACTCCTTCTGCGCGTAGTGAGTATCGGCTCAAGTGACCATGTAAAGAGTATCAGGTTCATATACAGCTTTTGTATTCCCCAATGTCGGAGTGTCGCCCGGCCATAAGGTGAGGACTTCAACGTGGAATCGTGGATGCTGGCCCTGGGAACCCACACGCATCTAACGCCGGATGGTAACTCTCCGAGAGAGGGGCACGGATCCCCACGGGATGCACACATCGGACGCTCATGTCCCGACGATGCTTTCGCTGCATTGAGACTGCAGAACAATCTGCCACTTTCATTCTTGCTATTCAGGTATCCAAACGATGCCAAGTAGTGATGGCATCGTGCTGGATCAAAAGCGGTCTTTACCTGCAAACAGCAGCGCTAGAACCCTCAGGGCTCCGCATTCCGCGCTGAGCGCCTGCCGGAGCCACCCCGGAGCGGTGGGGTGAGCGCATCCAGGCGCGGAACCACTGACACTGGTGTCGGCAAACTGCCGTGGCATCCACTAAAGCTGCTGAATTTGTCCAACACTGGCTGCTGTATTAGGAATTTAGTGAGGCGCCGGGTTCACTGCCTGCTGCTTGCTGGATTGACCTCCTGCCGGATTCGCCGGCCAGCCTGACGCTCAACGCGCTGGTTGTCTGCTGGATGGACTGCTGGCTTGGCCGCTGCCCTGGCTCGTACTGTAATTGCTTGTCCGATCGGCTGTACTTCGTATTCCCTTCACAGTGGTTTGCGGCGCCGAATTCGTGGGCACAGCCCGGGGGTCCCCATGCCTTCCCGGATTCGCCGCCGACCTGTAGATCGATGGATGGTGCCGACACAACTGTAAGCGAACAGCACTGCACTTTTCCGACTTGCGATAGCTCCGGACCACATGTATTCAATCCCGTGCTAAGGTCTTACGTAGGGTTCAACGCAGTGAAGAACGGAGGCATTGCCAAATTACCAGGCCTCAGTCAATTGATCCTGCCCACGTGGACAAGACACAGGCATCTACAGCCCGCTAGCTCCGGAAGGCAATTGAGCACTACATTTTTGATGAGTCCGACCCAGATCTCATCAGCTATTTGCCATCGGGGCACTGGATGAAACCTCCCTTGGCGGCGCCATCGTGGGTCATCAGTCCGCAGTAGTAGACCAAGGGGTGTCCATCAACACCTTGCGCCTTGCCGTCATAGTAGAAGACAACACGCTCGTCGCCGTACTTCTTGTTGTTCTTGCCGCCATTGTACGGACCGTTCTTGACGAGAGGGTACTCCTGCCTGTTCTTGTCGTTCTCCGGGCAGTGCTTGGGGAAGTGAAGCTTCACACCCTTGCTGTCGTCGTGGTCGAAAGCATGGGGGAACTTCTTCTCGCCGCGCGTCTCGGGTGGGCTCAGAAGACCGAGGTTGACGCCGTGCTGCGCCGCGAGGTAGACGTCGTGGCCGTCGTAGGTGTTCTTGCCGCACTTGATGCTGGCAGACTGGTTGGGGCCATCCCACTGCGTGTTTGGTGAGCATTGAAGGACCGGAAGCATGAACATGAGTTTCAAGAGCCACATACGTCAATGGGCGCGTTCGAGGGCTCGGCACGGTCGTCAAGCTCAATGAGATCCTCGGCAGGTAGGGCCGAGGCGAGCCCGAGGAAAAGGACAGCGGCTGTAAGGGTGACCTTCATGGTTGCTGGCTGGAGACGGTTGGCAAAGAGCTAGAGGGCTGGTTGACTGTATTGATGGAGTGATTGCTGAGGACAGAGGCTAGGCTGATGCGGACAGATATGCCGTCTCCAAGCTGGCCTTTATATCTGCCAGCTGGCTCATATTCGAGCCTGATGAGTGACATATAAGGGCCATGACCGCCGCTATCTCAGATGAACTTCTACTGCGAGTACTCCGCAGCTGCATGCCGATCTGCTTATGCAGGATTCAGGGCGCTCCTTAGGACGCAGAGCCGAAACGATACTCATGCAACTGAGCCGCGCCGCTCGGCCTGTCAATGCCGCGATACCTGGCGGAAAGACACCGAACGCATGTTCTATGTACAAAGCATCGAGATTTGAGCCTCTCAATATATTGTCTTGTTTTGGCCTCCACACGCCTGTAGCGTCGCACGGGAGCTGAGTCCTTTGGGGGCGTCAGCGTAGGCTCCGCAACAAGGCGGTGCTTCATCCGCGCGGGCCGTGTCGATGGCGCGTCTAGCGAACGACCCATGAACTCTCCGCTCCTTCGAGGGGCGGAATAGGGAATATCGTCACCCATTTTAGTCGCACTTGCCAGGTTGAACCCAGCAAGCGGAATCCGTCATCTACAACCTTGCGACTTACACGGGGCCATGTAACGTCTCTCCACTGTACGCGTGAGAGCGGCGATCAGTCCCGCAGCTACCGGACGCCGGATGACATCACCTCGGCACACGAGCCGAGAATTCTCAGCCCTGCGCCACAGCCTGCAAGCGCTGAAGCTGGGGGCGGTTGCCACGTTCAGGCACCACTAGGCACCCGCACCCTCCTCTCGGGATGTGACTTCGACTCTCGTTTGCCACGCAGGACCGTTCGCCCCAAAGCATCCTGTGTTAAGCCGTCTTTATTCCGCAAAAGGCCTGGCAATTTGACACTCAGTTGCTTCATCACGCAAGACGATCATTCTCACGCGACAGCTCACGACGCACTTCACATCCCGCCATGGCTACTGGAATCCAAGAAATGACATGCAAGTCAGTCGACATCGATGGCTTCGGGTCGTCGGCCGATGATGAGTGGTTTACGAGCCACACCGCACCTGTGGACGGTGAAGAAGAAACTGGCGGGCACCCGTACCAAGTCAAAGCTCTCAGGCGCTACCTTGACGGTCAATCGACATCAAGCGAAGCCGCCGCCGCCATCACCAAGCCGGAACCTAACTCTTCGGAAACAAAAGCGGACCTGCGCGACAGGGTGTTTGGTCTCATGGAAAATGCACTATACGAGCTTCCTCAATCCCATACTACAGCGCTCGTCGCATTGCTCAAAGAGATTGACGCCCAGGGCGGAGAGGACGAAGGTGGAGCACCTCTATGGAACGGCCTCAAGTCTTTCGGTGACTCCTGGTCCGACTCATGGAAACAAGCACACTGGCGCAAAGCACTCGCCACGCGAGACCCCGGGACACGCGGTCGGCGGCGCGAGGCGCACGTTCACCGCGCTTTTGTCGAAGCCTCCTGTGCCGTGGTCGGTTCATCCGTGGCCAAGGATGATGACGCGAAAAATAGCGCCGAACGTGGTCTGCTCCCCATGAGCTGGGGCTACGAGTGCATTTCGGACGCGCTCGAGAGCCGCGACGGCGTGGTCTGGGACTTTGAAGTCCCTGCGGCGGCGGTCTGGCTTCACGTGGCCCGGCAGAGGCTGCGGGAGGGTGCGAAGAACGGAGAGACAAGCTGGGCACTAGAGAGGGAAGGAAGGCTTTGGGCGCCCGGGCCAATGTCAGAGGACAGATGGAACTTTTGGATGGCAAGGATGAGGGAGATGGAGCACATTGGAGGCGCGATCACAAAGGCGGCTCGTGAGGGGCAGGAGCAGCGTTGATCAGATGTGAGCTGGAGGGCGGAGCCCATCGGCGGACTGGAAAGAGTCCTTGACTTTAGCTATCTTGACAATGCGCATAATCTAAATCCACGACGGTGCCATTAAAGGCAATTTCGGAGCTAGTTGACCATCATCTGCGGTCGATTTCGCGCTCGGTGTCGCCCTCCCGTGTCCCGCCCTTGCCGCAGAGAGCGACATCTGACATGGCGCTTTCAGCTTCCACCTGGCCGCATCCCATCAAGAATCACATCAAGTTCTCGCTCAGAGTTTGCCCACCCTGCCTCAATCAACTGACGGTGGTGAGGGCTTCTCGCTCGAAACGAGGCGTCGAAAGGTTTAGACGCCGCCGTGAAGGTGAACTTGAGATCCCATGGGTCAATTTCGACCTTCTTCCCATCCCTGTACGCGTGCGAGATAGTGTAAGCCCACAACAGTCGGGCAATCACAATAAAGGTGCTGCTGTATCCCAAGTGTCTGCCAGGACAGACCCTCCTTCCGAAGCCGAAGGAACTATGCGGGACTTTGTTCGCATCCAACCATCGCTCAGGTTTGTACGTGTATGGGTCGGGAAAATCATTGGCATCAAACGCCATGACCCATATGTTGGGAATAATCATGGTGCCTTTCGGGATGTCATAGCCCATGTACACGTCGTCCTGAGTATTGGCATGCGGTATTGCAAACGGTGTTGGAGGCTGCCAGCGCATCGCCTCGTTGATCATCGCATGGATATAGGGTAGCCGGTTCTGGTCTTCCATTCGGGGAAGTCGGTTTGATCCCACGACGTGGTCAAGCTCCTCTTGTGCTCGTTCAGCGCATTCAGGGTGCAAGACAATCGCCTTGACAAGCAGGCGCGTTACGGTCAGTATTGCTTCGAAACCCGCTTGCTGAAGTGTCCCGATCAAGTAAGCAAGCTCCTCGTCTGGCATAAGCTGTCCAAGTTTTGACGCTTTGGCTTCATGGACCCAGTTCCAGGCGGATGCTGACATGCCGGCGGCAAGGTGCTTCATGTGTAAAGCTGTGGTTTCGCGCTGTGCGTGTGCTGCTAGCCATTTCCATGGAGCCAGAACGTACGGGGCCCGGTCAACTACCGGGAACAGCTCGACCAATCGACAATACATACTGCCCAAAGCTTCAAAAGGATGCGCATTGATCTTTTCAAGTTCCTCAGGCTCGTTGCAGTCGCTTCTACTCAGGTGTATCCCGTAGCCCAGTGTAAGAACAGTACTAGCGGCGTACCGCGCCAAAATCTTCGAGAAGTCGTTCGAGTGCTGCAGGTCGAACAGACACCGATTGCTCTCGAGGTCCTGCAACGGCGCATAACGTTTGACGGCGCCGGCATCAAGTAGTGACGCGGCTATGCGGTTATGATTCTGCCATCGCTTGTTGTACGGGATGATTGCCAAGTTCATGTTATTTGTCATCCGTTCAGATGCCATGATGAAACGCGGTCTGGAGCTGTATATGACGCCACGCTTGTCCAGCAACTCCTGAGCAACCCGATAGGAGCTGATGCTAACAACCAGGCGTTGCCCATAGCGGAGCGTAATGATAGGACCAAACCTTTCGTGCCAGTCCTGGAAGCATGCCATGGGCGACCTGCGGATCATGGCGTGGACGTTCCCGACAATCGGCAATGGCTTAGGGCCAGGCGGAAGGAAGCTGCGCTGCTTGCAGCATAACGACACTCCGTAAAGTGTGATGCAGGCGATGATCAACAATGACACGCCGAACAACGGGTATTCGGCCATGCCGGAAGCCAATGCGAGATTGCTAGTCATTGTCGTGATACGAGTTGAGGAGACCGGGCGCGGTCGACTTCATCGCCGAAGGAAATGACTATTTCATTCAACCGGCTGTCTTAAATGAACGATTTTAAGTCGCTGATGTTCTCCGACGCGGCGGACCCAGCATGACGCTCGCCGACTAGCATTTGAGCCAGCCACGACATTCAGCTTGAAAATCTCTTGCCGGTTCTCGGCGCGATACTTGGTCGTAGTCGCATCGACAGCACTCGGCGGTCGGGTTCGGGTGCCACAACCACCACTTAGAGGTGCAGGCATGCTGTTTGGCTTGAGTCGCATGGCCTCTCCGGTCTCACCGACGCACCCCCGACAAGGGCATGCGCATGTCGGTTGCGCTACTCTCCCTTCTCAACCACACGTTACATCATACTGTCAGTGCGCCAGCTCACGGAACGTGCTTTTTCCCGTCGCCAACCTTGTTGGCGGTCTGAGTCAACGATGGTGATCTGACCGGACGGCACCGCACCGTTTGGCTCTATCGACGAATCCCGCACTGTCCTTCGTCCCCGAGTCAAGGCCACATACGTGCACAACGCGCATTGGTGATGGGCGTTGCGAGCTGTTTCGGCCGGAAGAACGCTGAGCTTGTGTGCGGTTTGTTACAGGCTGCGGCCATGCGTAGCGACGCCTCGGGAACAAATGATCAGGCGACCAACATTTTCATCTTCTATTGCGTCAAGCGTACTCTTCAGGTTCCACTCAGGTACCAAAGCGCAGATGGAAACTGATGGAAAGAAAACCGTCAGAGACCGCAGCCCAGTGGATATGGCCCGCATTTGCCTGGGGTCCGTCAATTGTAACTGTAAGGGTCATACGTCCATATCCAGACCTCATAGAGTTTCATGGTGCCTGAAGACCTGGCCTCCTTTGTTTATATAGAGGCCAGCTTAGCCCTGTAGCAGTTCACAGGCTCAAGGCTACTTCAGGCTCTGACAACGATTTATGCGACTAGACACCACGATCGAAGGTGCTGCCGCGACTCGAGAGTCGAGACAGTGGATGTTCAGCTCCGGCCTGGAGTGCTTGCGCGTCACGCCCTTCATCGTGATTGATCACGCCTGTGGGATCTGCAGTATTGCCCTTCATCTAGATTGGCGTCATCTGATCGAACGACTGGTGGTTCAGCCCCTAAGCCTTCACAACCGCACAAGATGAAGGACTTCCCCTATTGTTCGCAGTTCAATCACATCTCATGGAGTGCAAGCTATCTCCTCAGCATGCATAGCCAACTTTTCATTCCTCTCATGATCGGCTCAATGATGTACCTTCTCCGAGTTGCCACGCAGTATTACGGAAGGCGCAATGCAGGTCACTGTCACTTCAATCAATGGACAGAGAGGGAGTATGAGCAAATCGTCAACAACTTCTTGTCCGACATCTCCTTCAAGGCCCCCCTGGCAAGGTCTAAGTTGGACTTGCAAAGCCTGGTAGAGAAACGCATGGCATCGCAAGGTGTTTCTCCAATCATGATCGACCGGGTCAAACGCTGCATCAAAACAGGCATCAAGATCACCACTTTGACGTACTCGTTCCTTTCACCGGCCGCTCAGGAGGCAATTGCAACGTATGCTTCGTACGTTATCAGTATTGACGACCTGACAACCGAGTTGTTGAAGGAGTTGGAAACGTACACCGCCACCTTGACCTTGGGCAGGAAACACCGACATACGCTACTCCAAGGCTTGACGAATCATCTTGGTGAGCAGTGCCGTATCTTTGGGCCGTTTGGCGGCGATATGATCGTCAAGGGAACCATAGAGTTCCTCTCCTCGGCGGTTATCGAAGCTCGACAGACCGAGGGTCTGTTTCTGCCGAAAGACGCGGGGGAATACCTCAATTTCTTCAGGGCCAAAACTGGTGTTGCGGAACCGTTTGCGTTCTTCTGCTTTCCCGAGGACACCTACCCAGAGACCGCCTATTTGGACACGTACCTCAAGGCAGTGCCCAGCATTATGCTCTTTTTGGGCTACGTCAACGACATTCTCTCCTTCTACAAGGAAGAAGCAAGCCCCACAGACTCTGCCGGCTTCATACACAGCCACTCCAAGCTTCACACTATCAGCTTGGCCCAATCATTGCGCCAGATCACGCGAGAAACCGTTCAAGTTGTGCATCAATTGAGAAATATTTGCTCAGCGGATCATCTTCTATCGCAACACATGGATAAGTTTATTCAGGGGTATATTTGGTATCATCTGTCGTGTAGCCGTTACAAATTGTCCGAGTTGAACATTTCCTGGGCTCAGTTGGCTATAAGGCCAAGGCAAGAATAGCTTCCTCATGTCGTGGCCAGATTCCTTCATAATATAGAAGTGTATCTGCACCTCCGTCTAGCGGACAGCGCTACGCCGTAGCAGCACTTTGAACTCATCACCGGACTGAACCAGCAGGGTGACTTAAAGTTTCCAGCGCGTGGGGTCCGGGAATTTTCGCGGAGGGGGGAGACCAATGTCGGCGCGCTCCCATGACTCGTCATGAGGATCGCTCTATCGCGGTTGCATGGCGCGTTGACTTCTATGTGTTGGCTTTGGGGGAGGTCTGGCGATGGTTGTGGTGTGATGCTTGCGGCGTGGGAACTGACAAGCGCGCTCATCCGCAAGTCCCTTGTATCGCTTCAATAGGTCTGTATCGACCAGGTCTCCCTGGTCCGAGTACTGAAAGTGAGCGCCTAAAGCTCTCCCTTCAATGGTGACGGCTTCACGAAGGATGTTAGCAAAGACTGAGCTAGAGTGAAAGTAAAACACAAGAGTGCTGAAGATGTGACCAGTCCTTCAGGGAATGTGTACATACAGCGATTCAACTGTTTTGGGAGGTCGAGGACAACCATATCCTCGTCACCCCTGTTCTTTGGCCAATTTTCGACGTCTGTATCCAAGATGTCGTCGGCATAGAAGCACATGAAGTTGATACGGATCCGGTGTCCGTGCATATCCCATGTGCCAAATTTGTAGACATCGAGTCTGTTTCTCTCGATGTTCTCGAGCAAGGAGTAATGCATCTGCGCGGCGATAGCCCAGCTCTCGTAGCTTGGACCCCAGACGTCGTAAGTAAGCTCTGCGGCAGGTGTCTGGCTCATCATGTTCTCGTTCTGAACGCGGAGCCACCTGTGGTTCTTATGCGGAGGCTTCTTATCGAGTGGCCATGTGTAGTTCGCGGGACCCTCCCAGTAAGGATGCTGCGATGGCTTCCAAGGCGTGGAGGCATTCATGTGGGCGGGACTCCCAGTGTCAGGAAAGTATGGATGCAAAGCGCCCATATGGTAGTGCATGAACCCTAGCGGAGGATTGTTGATGATGTTAGCCGATACGACTAGATCTTGTGGACGCGCTATCTTTTGCGCGACGAGCCGAGGGATCGCATCGTCGGCCATCCAGAGCTAAAGATGAATATTCCCGTTAGCTTCCAAATCCGTGTAATGCAGCGGCATGAGCCGCTTTGGCTCCGTTTTTGCGCGTACGGGTAAGAGGGTGGAGACCTACGATATCGTCGTCCACCTTGACGTAGTATTTCCCTCGGTCTAATCGTTGCCAGGCCTTGTAGTATGAGTAAACCCATAGCTTGTCGCCTGGAATGACTAGCTTGCGGTGAACGGCCGGATTGCTCTCGATTATCTCGTTGAGGTAGCTGAGGTCGCCTTCATTATCTGTGTTCACAACCCACAGAACTTCGTCAAGCCAGCCACCATTTTCCACCAGGTTGCGCTATATATCGCATCAGCAAGCCTCATCATAAAGCACGAAGAAAGGCACTTTAACTGCCAGTAGCAAGGGATTCCTACCTCCAAGTAGCAACGCAGACATGATACTCTATCCTTGCGCCCGTAGAAGACGAGTGCACTGACAGTGGTGTTGGCCGGCTTCTTCGGGGCTAAATGAGCAATTTCACTGTTGCTGGTCCGAGTTCGTGAGTTGTAAAGCTCCGAAGGCAGGTGCAGAGATTGCAACAGCAAGGCAAGTCCGGTGAAGACGACGCATATCGCGAGGATTTTGGCTCCTCTCCCCAGCCCCGTCAGGGAAGCAACTCGGTTCATGTTGACGGCATTGTGCGAGTTGATGGGTTGAATCAGACGAGACGGAGCATCGCAGTGAAGTACATTTCTCGCCAGGAGAAATTATAAAAATACATTTAGCGCAGCCGGGGGTCTGGCCGGGGCGCCTCGTATTCCTCACTTGACAGCCAGCCCTAGCGCCATCACCACACCACGGACATACGTGATTTTGGACACGGCGGATACGATGGACCCACCACTTCGGCAGGATCGGATCATGACTGCAACGAAGCCGCAGAAGCGAGCACTTGCCAGAAGACGAGCGCTCTGCCAAGAGCCTTTACGGTCGAAATGTGCCTCTGTTGCCCTCGAGCATTTGCGGCCGGAACCGGGTACATTTTCAGCTTCGTGGACTCAGGGGGACCCGATCTATCGCCACGAGGGTTAGGGACGCAATATGAGCTCCGCCAATCGCGTCAGAGCTCGCGCGTTCAGCCGCGCTGGGTTCAGTCTCAATTCGTCAGGCCGCATGGCAATCCGATCGTGGAACGAGCCAACGCACAGGAACTTCGGTTCAACCCATAGATTAGCATCCGAAATTATTGGCGGGAAGACGGACGGGGCGGAAGGCGGGGTCTAGACTCAAGACTCCAGTGGTTCTGACGGCAATTGCCTGTTCGGTCGAGCACATGCTGGGCTGTGGTTTGCCCGTTGCCTTTCGTATTGCCCCGTGTCGCGTTCAATCAGGGGTCCGAACCTGTTCTGCTCCAGGAACTGGGACGTGGTGCGTGGCGCAATCGTATGCGCGGATTCGAACCCTATTACGAGCAAGCCACATTCCGAATGCATGCATGAGTGAGTGGTCGTTTCCGAGCTTGCTGGAATGCTCACTGGCCCAGGCACGGATCGGTAAGAGCGCGAGCAAAAAAGTCGTGTCGCAATGGGGAAAAGACGGACCAGGTAGTAACAAGAAAAAGCAGATCCGCAAGAGAAAGTCGAACAATCCACGGTCGATGTGAGCTTGAATAACTGCAACAGTACCAGCGTCCGCCGCACCCTGCAGGCGAGGGTCAAGGAACGGGCTGCCGATGATTGGAGACAGTGGCGGGCCCAGGCTCGAAGCTGACGCGATTGGAAGCTGGGCGACTTCGTCTCGTGTGCTTCAGGGGCTCAGCGAGGCCAGGACGAGAAATGGCCGAAGCCTTAACCCAGTGTCGACATGCGCCGAACTGAGCAGTTCGGGCTGTGACGCGATTGGTTCTATGGCCTTTTCGGTAGGTACCAGTGTTGTAGCTGTTCACGTTCCGACTGCCATGCCGTCGATGACTTCCTGCCGAGAGACTTTGGCAGGCTGCATTAATGCTTGCCACAATCGATACCTCGGCTCGGCCGTAGACGAGTTACTGAGGAGTGCGATTTGATATGTGCGCCTCATTCTCGACACGCCTTTGCGCATTGGGACTGCTCTCTTGTAACGCACAATCGAAATGTCGGACACTTACAGGCAGGGCTCTCAGTGTTGCGGCAGAATGCCACGTGGAAGCACGTGGCCCATAGAGAGCCACGACGTCAATTGCGAGCCTCAAAGCATTCACACTGTCATGCCCTTATTACTGGAAGCTAATAAGGAGAAAAGCTGATATCGCGGCACTTGCTCCATTCGCAGGCTTGCGCGCCCGCCACTGTCGGTTCCCACCGTTCGGTTGCAGGCAATCCTTATGCTTGTACCATGCACCAGACCTCAAGCAAACAGGATTCTACGGCTGTCTAGACTTAGCTAGAATTGATCGTCGGACTCCATCAGCTGCTTTTTTCGTGGGCGAAATGCAAAGATGAGAACAATGACCGGGAGCTTGTAAGTGCTGCTCAGGGAATGGCCATGCACGGTCGCACGCGTTTCCCATTGTTGCGCGTCAGGGCCTGCCAAGCGCGCCGCACCCACCAAGACCCTTTGTCGCCAGCTCTCCCCGAGGGAACCATTCTGGCGCTGTCGCCTGCAACCCCGCGCCCTCAATCGCCGCCACGGCGCGGTCTAAATAAGATGGCCTCAATCGCTCGTGGAGCCTGCCGACGGCGCTACCTTCAATTACGGCCACTGCCGCCGTGATAGATCGATAAACCATGGCGGTCCCGGTTCCCGGTCTGCATCGCCGGCCGGAGCTGCCGGCTTCCCTTGCCGGGACGGTTTGTTGACACGGTGGCGCGCGTGGCGCCGTCGCTGGGGCTCCTGGCAGCGCAGCCAGGTGTCAAGAGACGTGAACCCGGGTAATGGGTCTCGCAAAGAGATGCTCCTTCAAAGAGGTGTCTGTCAGTTCAAGCTCCGTCGCGGTTCGCGTGCGCGATATACGGGTCATTCAGAAGACTGCCAATTTACACGACATCCCGCTGCGTGCTGAGTCTGCCTTACCCAGCTAAAGGGCGCAGCTCCTGAGACACTGGCATCAATTGACGACCCTGGCGCGACAGCCTGATCAACTCCCGGAGAGTGGAAGATAGTCCGTTGCCTACGTCAATTCGCACGGCGATCCTGCTGCGCGACAGTCGTAGACGAAGTCAGCCTGAGAACGTCCACTGCATCATCGCCCCAAAGCACCATCTTGGACGAGGCAGATGCGCCGCTTGTGTCACTGGAACCTTGCCCTCCACGATGTTTCGAGGCTGTGGCGCCCCTCCAGCGGCGGGTGCAACCCAATCTGGCAGGAAAGGGTCCCCGGCCCTGAGCGATCATCGCCAATGAAACGCCGTCAGGCAGGGTCCAGCCACGATCAGGCTAAGCCACGGGAACGTCATTCTGCATCTCCGCGAATGAGACGAAGACACTCTCAAAGCCAAGTCTGCATCTCTGTTTCTGTTGAAAGTTCATAAAGCAGGACTTGGCCGGACTTGTCTGACCGTCTCTGCATCAGACCTAAGACTTAAGACAGTTCAGTTCAACTTACAACACGCACTCACTGCTGCAAACGCTTGCTCACACAACATCGAAGAGAAAATCCGCACACCATGGATGCCAACCAGGAACAGTACGCCACATCAAAGTCTCAACCTTCAAAGTAGGTACCATACTGCCGTAAAGTCACCGCAGATGCTGACTTGGACCAGGCCATCAATGTCGACCCAAGACTCGTCAAGCTCGGCCGGCAGCATGCCGTCTGCAAGCCACAGCGCAAAGCACACCGTCCCACTTCGACAGCTGCGGCCGGAACCACAGTGGATCGACTGCCCCAAATGCGGCCAGACGGCACAGACGCAGATCCAGTGCCGCAGCGAGGGCAAGCAGAAATTCATGAACGTGTTTTGGTGGCCGCTCCCGGGACGGAAGCACTGGTGGGAGAAGACGCGCTGGCTCTGCGGGAACTGCAACGAGGAGCTGGCCATGCAGAAGTTCAACGACGACTTGCAAATCTTGGTCTAGTGCTTGAATGCGATGGCTATTGGTGTTGTTAGTTAGCGAATGAGCACGTACAATATTACTCCTTTTGACTGCATGCTGTCAATGCTTCTGTATCTTCTTCTGCCAGGCAAGGCGTTCGCACCTTCTCTCGTGCCTGGACCAGACCCTCGGTGGTCACTGCAATTAGCAGCAGTGGTCTGGAGTCAGGCATTTTATTACAGGCCACACTTGCCCCAGCAGGGTACAGCCGTTGTGCAGGGCTCACACTGCTCCCTGCACTGTTACGCTTGGCATGTGCCTGTTATTAGGGGGCTAGCGCGGCATCCCACCAAATGCTTAACGCTCGAAACAGTCTGACGTCATTTCATGATGTGTCCGACATTGTTTAAAAGCACGCGCATCTGCTTACATTTTCACCATGTTCCGCAGTCGTCACCATCTTCGCGTGCAACAGACCATGGGCTCAAGTTTATCAACACCAAAACATGAAGACGACCCGCAGGTCCAGGCGCATATACAGCGGCTCATCGCCGAGAACCCTGTCATAGCGTTTACGAAAATAACCTGCCCTTACTGTGCATCAACAAAACTGATTCTCAAACAAAAGGGTGTCCAACACCTCTGCGTTGATGTCGACATAACCTGTCAGTGAATAGTGTACAGTGCTTCATCTTCCGGTTTCGGTTGCTGACGCAATATTCTCTAGCTGGGGGATCGGCTCTCCATCAAACACTAAAGCACATGACCGGCCAGCGAACAGTACCATGCATATTCATAAATGGACAGCGGATCGGTGGCAACAGCGAGCTTCGGGCACTCAAGAAAAGTGGCGAGCTCGACAGGTTGCTTGAGTCAGTACCAAAGGTCCAAGCGATATAACGCAGTCGGCGTGTTGAGACATGGCTTACCTCGAGCTACGGGTTCTTCAAGGGGTGCGCTCATGTCACCGAGACGACATGCTCCGGGTACCGAAGAAAGTACATCGGAATGTCCGCCAACTATGCCCTGGGCATTCTCCGCGTAATAACTTTCTCTGTTGGGCTAGCCTCCCTGCCTTGCCTGTGCGCATCGGCCACGGCTCGAGCGGCAACTCAAATGAGCAACATGAACGGAACGCTCTCATGAGCTGCACAATGGCAGTGATAGCCGAGCCGTGAAACGATGCTGCTTCCTACTGAGATACCTTCGAGGTCCTTTGTGTCCTTGCCACGAAGATGATAGCCGACAGGGATGGCGAACAGACAACACTTCGATCCGCGACACAGCCATATAAGATTGGGCAAGTAGTTTGATGCAGTGAATTTAGCACCTAATGTAACGGCTTGAATCGAAAAGAATGGCCATGTGCGTAGCTGTATATAGACGCTAGGCGGACATGAACTGTCAATACTGACCAAGTTATTTAAGTAGATCAGCGTCCAAGAGATCATGGGTCATTCATCGATAGCACAGTTCACTCGTTGCTTTCATTACTTACATACCGCGCCTTCAAGCTCCTATAGACCACATGCAGACAGCCAGACCGAAACTGCCATGGAGAGATACGCAAATAACCGAAGACATGACCACCCAGTGAGCGCAAGTGGCTCAGCTTTCCGGGTAACGCCACTCATAACGATTAGGCCTGAAAACACTTTTTGGCCTAGTATTGTGGTCTGAATTAGCTCCATGTCAAGGTCCGGATTGATCAGAGCTCATAGGATTGCCTGTACAGGTGGTCTCGACTTACACAGGCCAGGACACAGTCCTTTTTACACTGCTGTCTGCACGGCTCCGGGTCGCCCCTTGGGCAGTACTTTCCCCGACGGCATTAGCCGATTGTCCACGGATGCTGGATCAGTATTAAATACTCACACAGGGCGGGGGGTTAAGAACACATTGAGAGCCGCATTGAACGAGACAGCGAATATCACGTCTCTCTAGGTCGGTAGTCGGGTCCGCGTCTGGTACGGGAGTGGCCAATGCGAGCCCCGTCAGGGGAGCCAGAAGAACCGTAGCAGCCTTCATTTATGATGACGAGGTCCAGCCTTGCTGGTGATGTCTAGACGGTTGCACTATCGTATGGCTTGAGGTGGCTGACAGTTTGGTGGCTATCATCCGGGGAGTCGCGCCGTTTAAATACATTCACAGTGATGCTGCAAGTAGAATACAAATGTCACAGGAGACAACTGACAGTAAAAGCCGATCCTCTCAATAGATACGATCGAGAGCACCTACTGACCACGTCCTGCTGTCGCAGTACCTCGAACGCGCTGTCGTGCTATGCGTTTGAAGCCTAACACAAAGCTTAAGCTTAGCGCCCGCGGCCTCGAAACCAACTGCTTAAATTATGGATCTGTAGGACAGGTTCGCGCAAGCTTCCGTCACAGTCGCACAGCAAATGCTGGCCAAGCTCGTTCAGCTGGCCACAGCGTGGCGATAGCCTCGATTCAGTGGCGTCGCAGGTGGAACGGCAGACTCCGCGCGACTCCGCTGCGTGTATGCTTTCGCAGCACTGGACTGACAAGACGGTAGCCGTGAAGCAACGTTGCCCCTTGAAGATGACTTGAACTAGTGATCTCTGACGAGCGCAAGCAGCGCCGACCGTGTCGGCCGTTTCATGTACAGCCCGCGTCGACCTCCTTGACGTAAGGTTGGGTCGCAAGACATCAGCCGGGCTTGCTCAGCTATCCGGGACAACCAAAAGTTGATTGCCATGCACGGCAGAAGCCGCTTCGGGGTAAACTCCCTACGAATGTCTATACTGATAGCAATACGGTCATTATCTTTATATACACAGCCTCACTTGTAGTTCAAGTACTCGGCCGGCACCTTGGGCCACTTGTCCACGCCATCCTGGATGGCCATGCTCATGCCGCCAGACAGGTGGCTTTGAACATGGCAGTGTATGAGCCACGCACCGGGATTGTCGACGTGGTACCGGATCGCCATCCAACTCGGTCCCTGTAGCGCCGCCGGGGTAGTGAAGCCGTCCCGCCGCGGGGGATCGACAAAGTTGAAGCTACTCGGGATCTCCTTGGCCGCCTCGGCGACGCTGTCCCACTTGAACAGGCCATCGCCCTGGCCGAGTAGGTACATCTTGTTGCCGTGCTTGTGGATGGGGTGCGGCGGCATAGGGAATGCGACGGCCTGGAAGATGACGTCGACCCAGGTACCGTTCCTGGTCGTGATGGTGACATTGTTGTGCCGCTCGGGCTGCGGGTCAAAGAGCAACGGTGTGTCGTTGTCGAGGCCCATCGGGTAGATGGTCTCGTTGAGCGCCCAGTTGTAGCTCTGCCCGGCGACGCGCATCGCCACCTTGACCGTCTGATCGGCGGTCTGGGCAATCGGCGCGGGCGGGAAGGCCTTCATGGCGGCTTGGCCGAAGAATCGCACGTCGGCAGTCGTGTTGGCCCCAATGTCGTTGATGTACCCGACAGAGGGCTTGCTCGGCGGCGACGGCCCCTTCGGGTCGCGGTACGACAGCGTCGCGAAGCCGGTGAACATTTGTGGCATGGTGAGCGAGGCCATGCGCATGGTGAAGTCGCCGGGCTTGTCGAGCTTGACCATGACGGAGTAGCGGTCGCCGTTGGTGAGCACCACGGCCTCAACCTCCTGCGGCTCAATGTAGCTGCCATCAACGGCGTAGATGTACATGGGGTGCTCGTCGATGGAGAAGGCGCCCGTGATGAGACCAAAGGTTCCGATCAGGTCGAAGGCGACCCACGTCTCCTTGGCGTTGGAGGCCTTGCTCACCTTGATGACTTCGCGCGGGCCGTTGGTGGCGGTGCAGACGTCGAAGATCTCGGGGGGAATGGCTGACAGGTTGGTCTGCTTGCCTCTTGCCTGGACAGCGGCAATCACTGCGGCGGGGAGACACCTGATAGGGCATTAGTGTGCGTCGCATCGACGGCGAGGAGGAAGCCCCTCAGCTTAGGAGTTCACGTACCCCTTGGCCGTAAAAGACGTGGCGTTGCCCAACTTCAGGAACAGCCGCTGCTCGGCCGTGTACAGCGAGGCCATCTTCTCCTGCGTCCAGCAATCGACCCGGCCCTTGCCATTGATGAGGATAGAGTCGTAGCACGGCGTCTCGAGGCCCGACGCGACGTTGATGTCCCAGCCGCGTTCCGACGTGACGTGCCGGTGGTCCGAGAGCACGAGGGGCGTGACGTCGGCCTCGGCGCGCTTCATGGCGCGCACCGCCGTCGGGTCCTTGGAAATCCTGTCAAAGGGCCGAGGGGTGCTGTCCTTGGGGTGGATGACGATGGGGCCGTACATGCCATCGTTGAGCTGGGCGTGCTGGTGCGAGTGATACCAGTAGGAGCCGGCCTGGGTGGCCTTCCACTTGTAGACGAAGCTCTTGCCGGGCTGGATCTGGCGCTGGGAGAGGCCAGGCACGCCGTCGGACCAGGGCGTCTTGAGCATCTCGATGCCTGTGGTTCTGCGTTAGCCAACTCCGCTACCAGCTGTCACCATCTGCGTCGGCTCAGACTTACCATGGTAGTGTATTGTGGTGTTGAAGGGCATCTTGTTGTACACCGTGACCTCGACGTCGTCCCCCTGGTTCATCTCGAGCAGCGGCCCGGGGAATTGGCCGTTGATCAGGATCATCTGCTTCTCGAAGCCATCAGGCGCATGCTTCTCCCACGTCAGGGTCAGCTTGAAGGGCCGTGGCTTGCCATTGCAGGCGGACAGCGACCGGGCGTCGACGGCCGACAGCAATGCTGGGGCGAGCCAGGCGAGCGCAATGAGACTCTGCCGGAACCACATTCTGGCGATGGGACAAGGTGGAAACGACTACCCAATGGTTCTCGCGCGTTTATTAGAGCTCGAGGGCGCATGCATGAGGTCGCACTGGGCCATGGCGCGGATATAAGAGCCGGGCGAGTTGCCCCGGACGATCGTCGTCGACCAGGGTCTCGCGGCGACCATGCTGCCCGTCTGTCTGTCTGTCTGTCTGTCATCGACAAGTGCGACGGCGCGCTCTGGCCGGCGACCGGATCCAACTTCGCCAGCCCGTTCATCCCAGGGTCTGTCAGCCTGGAGGACCCGATGGCCTGCCCGTGCTTCTCCAGTACGCCGTGGGTCGGGCTCCGGCCTGGCTGCTGAAGCTTCAGGTGGTCCCTTGCTGCGCCAAGTCGGCAGGATCGCGGCCTGCATTGCACGGTGGTTTCCCATATGAGAAATTCCCTCGGGTTCCGGCAATAAATGGCTCCCTACGGCGCCGCTCTGCCCCGGTGGGATGGAAGATGCAGGTGCAGCACAGAATGCAGATTCGGCTGGGGGGCCATGCAGCTCAGCCGTCCCTCGTCCGGCGCCTCAGGGCCTGTCCCGCCCACCCCCCAACTGTGGCCTCGTCGCCGCCCCCAACCGGGCCTCGCATTAGCGCTGAGCCCTGCATCTGGGGCTTGGGTTCTGTGTGCAGCCACAGGCGGCCGGCGTTGAAGTGGCAGCCCTGGCGCAGCGTGCCGTGAATCCCGTGATGCAGGGTCGGCTCCCGACAAGTTCGAGCGGCATGCCCCGAGGGCCTGCTTGTGCACGGGTAGTTGGCAGTCACACAGAACCAACCGCCTGGGATTGGGAGGTTTTCCAGGGCCGTGCTGTCCGCAGAGATTGACGATGCAGCATCCAGAACTTTAGCGATGCGCACGAAATGCGGCCTCGCAGGAAGCAATAATGGTCAACGTAGCTGCAGCACACCAATTGATGACTGCCTGCAGCGCATTTGGTTGGGCGCAATGGCCCCGACAAGGAGCTCATGATAGAGGGTGTGTCGTGGCCGCTGGAAGCAATGACATCACCATGGCATGGACTTGAGATCGCATCTGGCGGCCATGCTGTGTAGATTGCGGCCGCCATAGCCAAGAATGCACGGCAGCTGCAGGAAAACGCCATGCAGGTAGATAACAGCGAGCGCGGTGATGCGACGACTCGCCGCCAAGAACGAAAACTGTCACGACTGCACTGCCGACAGCACCACCAGAGCTCGTCCCATTATCTGTGTGTCTTGTAGGTATCTTCTATCGCAGCGAGTATTCCAAGAACAGCCAAACTCCCGACCCCTCCCCCCGCGGCGGCATCAATCCCGGATGACCACCGCCTTATTGACAAAGAGCCCCTCGACAGCGGCCTTGATGAGGAAGCCTGCCGCGCTAGTGACGCTCACGCTGTCCGTCATGCGCATGCCCACACCCGCGCCATCCAGCGTCTGCACGTCGGCCGTCTTCTGCTTCGCGTCCTCATACTCGAGCCTGGACGCCCGCACAAGCGTCCAGTCCAGCCCCGTCTCCCGAATCTCCTTGTCGACGAGGTTGTGGTCCTCGACCGCGAGCTTGATGTTGGTCCAACCCATGAACGCCTTGGTCAGCCACGGCAGGTTGCCCCACGAGTCGCCCGCGCCGGCCGTCGACATGACGACGATGCGTCGGATGCCGGCCTCCTGCAGGGCCGCGCAGGCGTTGGCGGCCGAGTCGGCCAGCAGGCGCGGGGGCGAGAGCTGCGGCGCGAAGGGGCTGTCGGACTTGCGCACCGTGTTGAGCGTCATGATGGCCGCCGAGGGGACCAGGCCGCCGGGCGCCGCGGTGAGGGCGCTCTGGATGTCGGCCTTGGAGAGCGGCGAGCCCGTCACGACGGTGAGGCCCGGCTGCGGCTTGAGGCTGCCCTCGGTGCGGACCAGGGCGACGGCCGTGTGGCCCTTGGAGAGCAGCTGGGAGACGACGTGCTTGCCGGTCCGGCCGGTGGCGCCGAGGAGGAGGAAGTGCATGTTGTCGTTTGTCGCTGGGAGTGGCTGACGTGTAAAACGGTAGCTGGGTAGTGCTTCCTCTGACCAGGGTTTTGTGAGGAGACGACGAGCACAAGAGAAAAAAAGAGAGCCTCGGCTAGCGAAGGATTGACGGCGGTCGCAGACGCCTTTATCTGACGTGACGCGTCGCGCGTTCGGCCTCGACAGATGTCCGAGTTTTCCCTGATATCGGCCTTGGTTACAAATGCCGTTTGCACCGACACGGTCCAACGACCTCGAATGACTCCATCGCCATGTGGGGCGGCACTCGCTCAAGGAATTTGGAGGCTGAGGGGTCCTGACGGCCTGATTGGCCGGGTCGCTCCGCACGCTGAAAAGGGAAAGCGAGTCTCCTCTCATTGGTCGCGTCGCTCCTGAGCCCGAATCGGGAAGGCGCACTCCACCGGGCTGTTTTGCTGCACACGCCCCCGCCGCTTGTGCTGCCACCCGCCCCCGGTAAAGTCGCTTCAGCAGCTGTGGTCCCTGAAGCACCCGCAACCCTTGCTGTTGTTTGCCTGCTGTGCTGTCAAGCAAAGGCGCTAGGATGGGACATGGAGCAATTGAGGGGCAGGCGGGGGTCCTGGGAGAATGCATAATAGCAAGACGGATATAGATCGCACAAGTTTGCTTTGTCATTGACCAGCCGGCCATCCCTCGTCGGCTTTTCATCAAGTCCCGCTCCTGCATCCAGGGTTCAAGGTCCGGGATTCGGAGCCGCAACACGCGCCTGAGCTCCTCTGGTCCGCGGGAGTCCTCGTCTCTCCAGGCTTCCAATACAGTGTTATGCACTTGGTACTGCACCTCGCTCCGTAGCGCCGCCAGCGGCCAGACTCTGGCCCTGCGCCCTCGGTTTGCTCAATCAGTCCAGACCCGAGCCGCGCCCGCCACGCAAAGACGACATCCATGGCCCTGGCCCGCTTCAACCCACGATGCAACGCTGCGTGTGTGAGCTAGTCCATGTTCCATATCCATGTTCCGAGCCGTGCGCCCGACCAGATTTTATCCGGTCTGAGCTGGCGCCTAACTCGAGTCCCAGCCCACCTGCATCTGCTTGTATGTAATGTGCAGTTAGTTACAGCCGTAGTCCCGTCTCCCGCGCAGCGCAACCGCAGGCTGGGCACGCCCGCCCAACAGCACCTCATTCTACCGTCTGAGCCTGCGCGGCGGCCCTCTTCTGTTTGCTGCTGCTGACTCGGGGTTCGCGTCCGGCCTATCACGCCGCATGAACGAGCTCCGTTCCTCCGTAAGCAGGCATGCAAGGCCCCGGCACTAGACACACCCGCTGCAACCTCAGTGACCGGAACCGCCCATGCTGCCTGACGATGCGAAGGCTGAGCGCGTGGACTGCACACTCCCGCGGGGGTGGTGGTGGTGGTGGTGGCAACAACAGTCGAGGGTTACCGCACATAAGAGAAAGACGAGTCTCCGCCGATCGCACATCTTCATGTCGTTGGCCCTGCTGCTGCTGCTGTTTCATATCCCGTTTGTTGGTCCGCTGCAACCCTGCGTGCTGCCGCTGCAAACATGCCCAAGAGAACGCGATACGACGATGGCGACCTCCACCACCAACACCAACACCTGTCCTTCACCCCAGACTCCTTCTCCCTCCTCAACACGTGCGCCGCCGACGGCACAGCCCTGGGCGGCCTGTCGGACTGCGACACCACGTGGGTGTTTGAGGCGGATGCCGATGCGGCGCAGATGCAGATGCAATTCTCCGACTTTGGGTCCACAGACATTGACATTCCCGATGTCCCCGCCCTGCAGTCCCTACACGGTGGTGACGGTCGCATTCACACGGGCGCGCACAGCGACCTCGTTACCGGCCATGACCTGTCCGCCGGCTACCAGACGTCGAATGGCTCCTCCTTGTCCGTGCCCGCGTCCCGATCAAGGTCTGCCTCGTCCCTGTCGGCCATGTTTCTCTCATCCTCCTCCTCGTCATCGTCGTCGTCTTCTTCGTCGTCACCGTCTCCTCGCTTCCCGGTCGCGGCCGAGGTCCAGCCGCACAATGCAGGACCTGCCCAGCAGGTCAATCAATGCAGGTCTCAGCGGCACGGGTCCGAGATGTGCATCGCGGCAGCGCTCCGCGCCCTGACGACCCTGCACATCGCCCAGTCGGCATGCCTGAGCGCCCACCAGGAGGCCCCGACCGTCCAGCAGGCCCGGAAGATGGAGACGGTGCTGGCCACCAACAAGGACGTCATCGCCGGCATGGGCCCCATTCTGGCCTGTTCCTGCTCGACAAAGTCGCTGGTCCAGCTGCTGCTGCTCAGCATCTGCGGCAACCTCATCGCCTGGAACGGCGCCATGATCAGCGCCGACCTCGAACAGGGCGACGATCCGTTCTCCGCGGCGTGCGCTCTGTCTGCCGGTGGCCCTACGCAGGCCCCCAAGGTGCGCGTCCTGCCACAGCCCATCACCATCGGCCAGCACCAGATCAGCGGCAAGCTCGGCCGGGCACTGCACGCCCAGGTCATGGCGGGCGAGCTGCGTGTGCTAGAGGGCCTCGTCGACGCCCTGTCGCGCCGCTTCTGCGAGGCGTCGGGGTCAGACGGCGCCTCCGGCACCTCTCCGCCCACGCACCTGAGGAGCGTCGGCGGTCGCGCCGCTGCTTCCCCTTCGCTGCGGTCGAAAGGGCTCTCCAACAACGTGCACCGCCATATTATCTCGTCGCTGCGCACGCGGTTAGAGAACACGCGGGCCAAGATTTTTTCTCGGGGGTAGGATTGGGCCAAGGACTTCAATCGGCGTGCGGCAGGTTCGGCTCTTTTGCGATTGAATTGGCGCTGAGGAGTTTGGGTTTGGGCCTTGATCGAGGTCATGCACGTGAAGCACAGCATTCGCGAAACGTAGACTACGATAGATTATGTAGACTGCATCCTCATTTGGCGTTTTACTGCCAGACTGCTATTGTCTTGTTCCCCTGCTGTGCTTGAGGTGGGGATCGGTTGCCCAGGAGTTTAGTGAGCACACTCGGCGACGGCGGGGCCGCGGGGGACCTGATGGCCTAGAAGCCCGCGCTGTGAAACTGCACCATCGCCCTCCCAGTGGACTTCGATTTACGATTCCATTCCAACTCGGCAACTTACGAAGCGGACATAATCGAGATTCGCAATGCCGTGTCGCTGTTTCTACAGGCTACTACTAGCAGTACTATGTATACGTCAGAGCTCCGTCGCTCCATTCTGCACTCCATTCGCATGGCCATTCTGCCCACCCGACAGACTTGCAGCAAGGACCTCCTTCGTCTCGCCAACCACATCATAAGAGAAGATGACATTGATGACATCATCCTGATTCTGCAAGTTTGTACCCTTGGGAAGGTACTTGAGAGCGGCGTCGCGGACGCTCTGTGGCATCGGCGGGCCAGAGTTGGAGAGCGTCTGGATCGCCGAGCCCCGGTCCCTCCTGATCTTCTCAAAGAGCCCAAGGCGCTTCTCCAAGGTGGCCTTGTCTTGGACCTGGTCCAGGAGAATGCCCAGCACCGCGGCGTCCTCGATGGCTTGGCCGCCGCCTTGCGCTTGGACTGTTGTTTCGCGTCAGAAATGATGCCAGTCGGGTGGCGATCGCACGCATGCGGGAATCGAGACTTACAGGGGAGCATGGGATGCGCAGCGTCGCCGATCAGCAGGAGAGAGTCCTTGCGCCACGAGGAAATCGGGCCTCTAGCCACCAGCTTCCAGAATCGGACATCCCTGGCTTTCCTAGAAGATGCGTCAGTTGCCATTCACGAGGCAGCACCCGGCTGCGGGGTGTTGCGACTCACGCAAGAACAGCTTGCAGAGCTGGACTAAACTCATTCTTTGCGTAGTCCATCACCATGGTCGGCTCAATGCCTGCCTGAAAGTCTGCGTGGGGCGATGTCAGCACATACAGGGTGTCCCACTTAGACGACTCCGGCGTTCGTACCTTCTGTGATATTCTCGCTTGCAAATGACCGCGAGAGGTAGAGGAAGTTCTGGACCTCGTTGCTGCAGTCCAGTGAGGTCAGCGAACTTGCACTCTGGTGGGCATGGCGGCACAGTGGGTGGAAGAGGGCCTGGCACGCACTTTCTACACGGGTACCAGACCAACCCGCCGCCTCGACCGCCCATGAAATACCGCTGGGTCGAGTCTTCGACAAGAGCTGCAGTGTCCGGGTCGGCCAGCAACTCCTCGGTCGGCACCAGCCATCGCATAGTTGCCCAGCCCGTGTCGCTGGCGTGGCTCTCGTCGGTAACGAGGACATGGTTCCTGGCCGTCGAGTGCACACCGTTTGCTGCAATTATGAGGTCCGCCTGGTGGACTGTGCCGTCGGCAAGCGTCACCGTGGCATTGGCTGCATCCTGGTGTGATCGATCAGTGACAGCTGGACATTGACTTTGTCGGGGGGCAGCTCACGTAGTCAACGGCCGTGGCACGAACGTGCAACTTGCAGGGTTTGCCCGGCCCATCGTCTCCTGTGGCCAGCGCCTTCAATTGGTCGTGGAGATCAACACGATGCACGGAATAAATGGGAGCGCCGTAGTTCTCCTCGATGTTCACGTAGTAGTTCGGTACCACCATCGACATGTCGCCGCCGTTGAGGATGCTGCCAGTTTTGATGGCCACCATGCGCGACTTGGCAATGTCGAAGCCCCAGCTGCGGAGGACCGGCGACGCATTTGGTGCTATCGAGATGGCGGCGCCAGTCTCTTGAAGCAGGCGGGACTGCTCGAGGATCTTTGTGGGTGCGTTAGCACTCAGCTTTGCCGGCGGAGCCTTCGCGATCGAGGTAGGGCAGACGAACCGTGACCGTGTGTCCTGCCCTGCGCAGGGCGATGCCAGCGCTGAGACCGGCAATGCCGGCGCCGACGACGATAATCTCCATTTTGTGGTGCTGATTGAAGTCGTGTTCGTGTTGCGGCTTGAGTCAACGCCGCCGAGCTTGGGTGCTGAATGTCTTATATGTGCAAGATATTTGCCCGATCTACGTCAATTGCGCGGCCAGTAATTTGACAATAACAAGAGACGGCATCGGTGCATTTGTCCTATTGGTAAATGGGGATCCATCTCACCGTTGTTTGAGCCTCGGGTCGTTTTGTTCCCTGTCGTGGCTGCTCGCGGCGCTCGGTGCCAGTCGCTCAGCGACCGTCGGGATTCCACCAGACTCTAATGAGCCTAGCCCTGCACATCACCCCGCCGTCTTGCACTCAGACAGAATTGCCCGTCCAACTCTTGTCGGTATCCGTCTGCTAGGCGGAGACACTTTGGCAAAAAGGCCTTCCCTCAGCCCTATCGTTGTGTATAAGTACTACTTCAGGGTCGGTGTCAGCGGTGCCAAACTTTGGGTAGACCGCTTTTACATGCGACAACCGAGTTGACAAGGCATTATCTATTACACGACGACTCATACCTCGCAAGTTGTGTAGAACAATGACGGCCCTTTCCGAGTCCAAGAACATGCATCGGGTGCGCGCCGACGAGGCAGCGCGGCTCAAGATGCAAGACTCTCTGCGCAGTGCCGCCGAGGCCATGGAGACGTCTAACGACACGATGCTGCGTCTGTTCAACGGGGTCAGTGCTTCCTGTGTCGCATCGCTTGAATGAGGTTGGGTTGGCTGACGCAATTGCTCCCTCAGGCTCTGGAAGTCCCCATGGTCAAGGCCGCGTGTGACATTGGACTCTTCAAGACGCTCGTCGCGAGCGAGACGCCGCTGACTCTGGAAGAATTGGCATACACTACAAAGGCGGAGCCAGCTTTCCTCGGTCGCGTCTTGCGCTATCTCGCGGCCACGCGATTCATCGCAGAGACGGGCAAGGACCAGTTTGGCGCCAACCTCACCACGCAATCGCTTGCGGATCCTGCCATTGAGGGCAGCTTGAACTACATGTAAGTACGCCAGGGAGTGCATGGACGTGCCGCGAGCGGCCCGAGCTGACCAGACCCAGCTTCGCAATCGCCATTCCGGCTTACATGGCTCTCCCCGATTTCATGCAGCAGACGAGCTTCCAGACTCCGCCAGGCACTAAGTGCGCGTGGCAGCAATCGGTCAAGACGGACATGGACTGGTTCCCGTACTACAAGCAGCACCCCAAGCAGCTCTCGTACTTCCAGAAGCTCATGAGCGTGCCCCGCGACGGTGACTGGCTCGACGTCGTCTCTTTTGCCGACGAGGCCGCCAACGTCAGCCCGGACAGCGCGCTCTTCGTCGACATTGGAGGCAACATCGGCCACCAGAGCAAACGGCTGAGGGCAAAGTACCCCACGCTCCCCGGAAAGGTCATTGTCCAGGACCTGCCCGAGACGGTCAGCGTGGCGGCAGCGGCTCCGGGCGTCGAGTTCATGGCCTATGACTTTTTCACGCCGCAGCCCGTGGAAGGTGAGCGGATGAGAAACTGCGCCGCGCTTTCATGGGCGACGAAAGAAGCACGAGCTGACCAATACATGCAGGCGCCAGGTTCTATTACATGCGGACCGTCCTCCACGATTGGGACGAGGAGAACTCGATCAAGATCCTCAAGAACACAGCCGCTGCCATGACGGCCGACTCGCAGCTGCTGATTGACGAGATGGTGCTGCCTAACAAGGACGTGCATTGGTGGTCGGCCTGCCTTGACCTGCACATGTACACCATGCTCAACGCGCTGGAGCGGACTGTCGACCAGTGGCACGACCTGCTGGGCAAGGCCGGCCTCAAGCTCGTCGACATCAGGACGTACGCGTCGGTCATGAAGAACTCCATCATTGTCGTCGAGCGGCTGTAGCGTGGCGAACGGACGTGTGATTACTCCGCGATTATCCGTCTCATGGTGTCGGGCCGCATTAGCAAGCTTGGCAAACTTATTTAGTAGCGAGCTAGACAGATGGAATGCTGTATCATCCCGGCAGACTTGCAAGTTTCTATCCAACATGGCATTTGCGGTGACATCGATGGACGAAAAAAAGGTTCAGCCTATTTCGCCCGTTGTTACGGACTACCCTGCATCAACGGAGGTGCAGTGTTCAATGTACGACACCCCCCAGTGCCCCTTGTCCGTGCGCATCCCGCCTCGACCACCTGCCCCGGTCGACGCACAGTTGAACATTCCAGTTTCGTGCACTGGGGTGCCTGGCAGTAAGCAATACGACGAAAGCGACCATGTTGCACTGCATCCGCAGGAACCACGTTGTGTAAGTGTGCATGCCGCGTCTGCATAACTAAATATGACCACCCCTGCCGTGTTTGTAGTTCAGCCACGTCGGCTTCCGTCTAACGTCGGCTTCCGGCCAAGGCCCAGAGCCCAGGCCAGAGCCCAGGCCGCGGTCCGGGCCGTGCGCTATTGACGCCGAGTCCCGACACCATCAACGCCCAGCAACCCAGTGCGACGCCCCACTGGTTCCCGTGATGATGCTGCCGTTATCGTCATCGCCGCTCGGCATGAACGGCCATCGGCAACCGGTCCAGGGCGATAACCAGGTCCAGATGCAACAGCAGATGCCGCCGCCAGATAGCGGAACGACCCCTTGCAACACCTAAGTGCCGTCGGGACCAATGAATCAGACCGGCAGCCGGTGAGTTCGGCAGCGCGCCACACCCGTCCATACAGACAAAAGTCGGCATGGCCGACATCTGCTTTGCATCTTTTCTTTCGCCTCTCCAAGTCACGCGTTGACCTAACAAGCCACTGCCTCTTATCATGACCACCACCGACGTATTGCGTTTCGTTAGCGTCTTCGCATCTGCTATCCACACAGGTAATGATTGATGGATTGTGCCAACCCTGGACATGCCGTTAAGACCTCAGATTAACATGTGCTTCTCCCTGACTCAGGCAGTCAGTTTAGTCTTTCGTTCGTATCTGGGGCCGCTCTTCTCGCCTCATCTACTGCCGACGAGGCCACCCTGCTCGCGCAGTTCCGTGTCATTTTCCGCCGAGGCTTCGTCCTGTGCCCCCCTTTCGCCGCCATTGCCACCCTGGCTAACCTCGGCAACGCCTACATCAGCTGGCGATCCAATAATGGCGGTGCCGGTGTGGCTCTTCATTTCTTGCTGGCAGGAGTGTGCACGGCGAGTCTCGTCCCCTTCACGCTCATGTTCGTCGTCCGCAGCGAAGGTCTCCTGTTGGAAAAGGCGGCCGAAAAGCCAGGAGACGGAAAGCCAAGAGACGGAAAGGACAAGGTTACTTGGTCTGTAGCACGAACAAGAGAGCTTATCGGGGAGTGGGCTCGGCTCAACTATGTCAGGGCTCTGTTCCCGCTGGTTGGGGCGCTCATCTCATACACCGCTCATTAGAGTACGACCCACTTGTGTTGCAATCAAGGAGACCTTAAGCTGCAATGCAAACATGAGCAAGGCTTCTCAAGCTTCTCATCTGAAAGGCTGTATATGGGCTGCTCGTGCATGGCCGTCAAGATTGGAAATATAGGACATACTGTATTCACTGCTCCGAACCGGGCGCGACGTACCCCTTTACCAGCATCAGTCTTACTTCCTATCTACACGCAATCTCTTCCGTTACCCCACCAAGCTCAAGCCTCGCAGCAACTCATCCCTAGTAGACTCGAGCAGCGCCGCCACTGCCTCCTTGTCGTGATACGCCTCATTGTATACACACTGCAGCCTCACGGTGCCCTGCAACGTCCACAAGTGCAGCAGAATGTCCGGCGAGTATAGCGTGATGCCCAGCCAAGCGTCTTCTACCTCCACCTTGCTCCCAGCAGTGCCTTCATACGACGGTTTGAGATATGCGTCCATGATACCGAAGCTGGAGACTCCGAGCGAGCTAGGCGCTTCCGCGCCGGGCGGCGGCGAAGTCATGATCGCCACCATATCATTCCCCCAGAAGCGTGGCAGGGTGCGCAGAAGATCGGTCTGTTCCGGCTCGCGATATTTTTGCTTGGCGAGGCGTGCCGTCTCCAGGAAGTCGTCGTCCAAGGTGAAGACGGCGGGAACCGGGACGGCCAGCGGTCCGACGAGACTGGTGGCCGGATACTTGGTCTTGTCGACCCATTTGCGAACGTCATGGATGGTGACGGCGCTCTGGATGGTGGCAGTCGACTGAACCTGCTTGCGTAGGGCGATGGACACAGCCGCCTGCACTGCCGCAGTGACTGTGAACCCCAGCTCCTTGCACCTTGCCACGATTCGTTTGCTCTCAGAGACGTCGAATGGGGCGTAAAGGACCTTCGGATCCCGGCAAGGCTGCTTGGTATCATTCAGTTGAAGCTTGATGCCAGCAAAGCCAGCCATCCAGCTGCCCAGCATGGTCTTGAAGGTGGCCTTGTTGGCGTCCGTCGCGACAGGAATGTCGGCAAGGACGTTCAGTGGAGGAACCAGATATTGTACTTCATCGCCACCTAGTTTCGGGCTGTCGGTACACGAGGCAGCCACAGCCAAGGCTTGGACGAGGTTGTTCATGGCTGTGTAAGCGCCGATTCCATCGAGGTGGGTATGGGGGGCCAGCAGGTAAAGCTCCTGCGTCTGGAGCAGGACGTGGAGGGCAGCACGTCCCGTGAGGTTCCTAATAGGAAATATGTCGCGGGATGTGCCAGTAGTGTCGTGGAAGTGGAGCGTGTCTTTGAGCCACGATTCAAGCTCTGCCTCGTCCGCAACGGTGTAAACCAAGCGATCGCCATGGACGACTGCCGACAAACAAGGATTGATTCGTCGGAGCGCTTTCCACGCCATTGGCACGTCTCTCTTCAAGTCGACACCAGTCGTGTTGATCTTGGCCATTACCGCAATATGCCAATGCTGGCCGTCGGTTGCACCCACGCCGCCTTCTCCGGCAAGGGCGAAGAACTTTTCCATGTCGTCCAGGCCCCGCTCATAGGTCCTCGGTGACGCTTTCGCCCATTGCAGATCGCTTTGCTTGGTTGTCGCCGCCATGATGTTGCTCTTGTGTTGCACCCGAGGTTCGGTATGTGGATCGTTAAGCCTATCAGTCTTGAGCAAGGAGACAATCACGTTCAACTAAGAATAGAAAGAGCAAGTACTGTAGATAATCCTTTGCAGTTATTTAAATAATCCAGGTTGAGATTGGCCGTCGTTGTGGTCGAGGAAGCCATTGCATATGCTGTTCTTGACCCCGGACTCCGAGAGGTTGTCACGTCGTTTACCGACAGCGGCTGGTGCCCCTCCGTTGGGAGGAAGGATTTAGTTAATGCGGCGAGCTCCAGAAAGGGGTCGACTACCCAATCGGGACGGGTCGGTCCAGGCGCGCCCTGAGCCCCGTCGCGTCGCCCTCCTCATGCCGTGGGTGCCGCTGCCAAGCGCCATGACTATCGCCAGGATCACGTTCCCTGAAGGCGCAGGGCCGGTTTCGTGGCCTCCCCACTCATTGCTGCAGAGCCTCGGGCGCCTGCTGGGCAAACAGCAACGCATCTCGTCAGCAAACGTCAAGCTGGGGGCAGTGCAGCCCACCAATAGAGTAACGAGAGGAACGAAAAGCGTGAGGGACGCAAACGCAGGGTCTTCAGCTGTGTGGGACCAGGATTCGGCCGGGACCCTAGATTGGCTGCGACGCCGTTGCGCAAAAGGCCCAGGGTAAACTCCTGCCGTGCGACATCAACTAGTCTTTCGAAGTGCATCAGGTAGTGCCTGCACCTGACGGAGATAATGACCTGCATTAGCGCTTACCATGTGGCAGGGTCCACGGTATATAAATCTTCCGCATAGTGGGGGATCTGCGATGTCCAAGCACCTGTGTGACATCTGCGTTGTGACGTTGTCTAAGACACACCACGTTTACATCCACATTTGTGGCAGCATTGCCCATCACTTTGTCGAGCCATGGAACACCAGAGCCAACATACCGAGTCGGACAACGCCGCCATCAACAGCGGCGGCAGCAGCAGCGGCAACAGCAATGGCAGCAACATGAACAACAACACAATCACTGTTGCGGACGCTGACGCCCGCGCCAAGAAGCCAAAGAAGCTTCGCCAGACTTGCGACCCGTGCAGCGAAGCCAAGGTCAAGTGCGACAAGGGGAACCCGCGGTGCGGCCGTTGTGACAGGCTGTCGTACGAGTGCGTATACAGCCCCGCGAGACGCATTGGCAGGCCACGTCCGCGTTCCCCGCGCGCTCAGGATCAAGAAAACGCGGGGCGCACGGCTCGTGAGGCACGCGACGATGCCGCCGCCGTCATGACCGACGATGGTGCCAACAAAGACTGCGTGGCCCCAGTTCGACAACCATCAGCTCCGGCTCAGCCCCCTCAACGAGCTCTAACGACGCGGCACCCAAACCTACACCTTGATGAGACTTTACCAGATTGCCTCTCTGACGAAGAGGGCCGCTGGAGCGCGCCCGCGAGTACTAGTGCGAGCGCCAGTAGCACAGACAGGAGCAACTTCAGAAGCAATGACGCCCCGCAGTCCACCAACATGACGATGAGAGACGGCTTCCTTGAGCATCCCTCGTCGGTAGGCCTGGACGAGGTCCGACACAACCCTTACGAGTACGACTGCGCGACCGTGGCCGTGGCAACGCTCAGCTCGCTCGCCGCGGCGGGGCTCGATGGACAGCAGTCGGCCACTACTCAGACAACTCAGACAACCGCGGCTGCCGACGTGCTCGCCGACCAAATACCGCGAGCGTGCAGGCAGGCCGCTCGCATACTCGTGTGTCCATGCTCGGCCGACATGGACACAGCTCTGCTGGCGGCATCCCTCGCCGCCGCCATTCTGGACGTCGCCGACGCCGCCTTGCGAACGCTGAAGCCCGCGGGACATGCTCTTGACGACGAGCAGCACACCGTCTTGGCCCTCGGCACCATCCCCACCATATCGCAAGTTGTCACCCTCTTCACACATCGCTACAGCGTTACCCAAGCCAGCCGTCCTCCCGAGGCGCTTCTACTGCTTGCCGCCTCCCTACGGACCACGCTCAAGGCCATGGCCGAAGAAACGACGAATCGCTTCCTTGACAGTGGCGCCGCACCTTCCTCTCGCGTGGAGGTGGCAGCTAATAGCTAGTGGTGGTGTATAATTTCTGTAGGGATCGACGAAGTAGCACTAGCATGTGGTTAGCGCCTTGGGCCGCTTGTACTGCCAGTCCGGTATATGTTCATTCTGAAGCAATGAAGCGTTGAAACTTCGCGTGCACTGGCCTCATACACTCGTGACGTATCATCTCGGCACGGCTCGCTAAAGAGCCACTGACATGGAATGGAGACTGCAGCAACGTACATCGCAGTGAAGATGCACCATACGCAGGCACAGATTGATGTTGCCGCGAAACTTGGAGGTGTTCTACGGAGGCACACAAAGACTATGAGATAATCCTAACTTGTCTTGACCTACTTGCCTACTCGTGCCATGCTTCGCGAGAAAGAAATACCACGCATCTATGACGAGAACAAAGTACAAATAAAGACAGCTCGCAGGTACGACTGCACTCCAACTCAGACATTCTGCTCCATCCACGCCTTGAGGTCCCCGACATTGAGACATTCCAGGAAGAGCGAGCTCTTGATCTCAATCGAGAGCTCTTTCTTGAACTTCTCGGCCAACACCAGCGAAGTGAGTGAGTCGACGCCCAGCTCCACAAAAGTAGCCTCGTCGGTCAGGTCAGATAGCTCGAGGCCCGTCTCTTTGGCGATAAGCTTCAGCGCGTCGCCCACGATGCCTCCTGCCACTTCGACGACGGTGCTTCCGTGGTTGGCGACCAAACCTGCTTCCACTTCATTCTTATCGCTCGCTGAGGTCTCTTCATCTTGATTCATGGTCGGCTTCGTTACCTGTGCCGTGCTTTTGACCTGTGCAGGCGATGATGCAGCCTTGGACTTGGACTTGGGCGCCGCCGCTTTCGGCTTGGCGGCCTTTGTCGAAGATGTCGTGGCTGTTGTGGCACTTCCCGCTGCACCATCTGGCGGCGAGAAGAACTTGTCCATCAGGATGCGGTGGACACGTCGGAACCTCATGCCCCCCATCATGCCCACAATTGCCCCGTCTTGCAGGACATAGACGTCACCGGAGAACATGTTGGCCTCGCCTGTTGGCGACATGCGGACGTAGCTTTGATAGCTGCCACCCGCAATTGCCGGCTTTGCCATGCGGCAGCTGTCCCAGCCGTTGGTGACGTAGAAGTGGTCTTTGGTGTCGGAGGCTTCGCTGCCGTTCATGACGAACCCACCGACGTGGAAGAGACTGTCGATCCAATGAGGCGGCGTGTGCCAGGTCCCATGCCTGTCCGGTGCCAATGCCACATCCGCGTAGGCTTCCAGCTCGTGGATCACGACAGACTGCATGCCGCGGTACTTTTCCGAGTAGTCCACCACATTGCCGAAAAGAGTGTAGGCCAGCCCACGTCCAACCTTGCTGGCGGAGCCTCCGGGAACCATGGCCGCCAGCGCGTTCACGCGACTGTTAACGAGCCACGACATCCTGCCGAACTCGGTAGCCCAGTCGCTAGTGTCTTCGTATCTTACTGTCGCAGTAGCATACGGTTCTTCGAAGCGAGTGCCTTTGTCATCCACATTGTACCATTGCACGGCCGTGGTGAGAGTCTCGAGGTCCATCTCGGCTTCAACTTGCAGAAGTTGCGCGCCCTCGCGGTTCGACCTTACAATCTGAGCGTGCTCTACTAGCATCTCGGAAACGTTCATGGGCACGGCCCCTGTTGAAACTGGCACCATGCGCTTGTACAGGTATTCACCGACGGTCAGAGCCATGTCAGCCCAGATCGACTGCACTTAAAGTCAGCACGAGAGAAGCCCGAGTCGTCGGCACATTGTCTTCACTTACCGAAGTCGCCACGCCATGTCCATTCATGTGGTGGCCATCCAAGGCGCTCAGTAGCTCTGGGTGCATCATGTCCGAGACAACGACCAGCTTACCCGCGTTCTCTGTAATTTCCTCCGACACTATCTGCTGCATGGAGGAAGTGCGCAGTGCAGAGCCGCTTTGTGCCGTCGGCTTCTTGCTCGGGTTGCCATTCGGGTAGGCCTTATCCAGAGTCCACGTACCCTCGTACTGTATCCAGTAGTTCTTCTCATTCCACTTGTAGGCATCGAGGTGCAGGAGGGTGTGGCAGCGTTCATAAGGGCGGTGGTACTCGTTCCAATTGACAGCGATGCCAGCACGGTGAAGTGACGCCAGGGTATTCGACAGAGTCGCAAAGCTGTCTTCATCGCGACGGAGCGATGCAGTTGTCTGCGCATCCGCAATGTGCCCCCGGATCAGAGAGGCGCACACGGGATGTGGCCCAACTTCGATCCAGATGGTCTTCTCATCGATGATGCCGAACTCCTGAGCAGCCTCGAGGGCATCGACGAAATTGACAGGTTCTCGGGCCGCTCTGCTCAAGTACTTCTCGTTGATGGTCTTTCCATCAAACACACAGGTACTGAGGAGCGGGGAGAGAATAGGAATCCTTGGGGTTTTGTACGTGACGTGCTTTGCCAGCTGCTCGAAAGGCGCCAGCATGGGATCCATCTGACTAGTGTGGAATGCAAAAGGAACGTCAAGGAGCGTGCACTTGACGCCCTCGCGCTCCAGCATCTTTCGCGTCTCGTCAATTTCTCCTCGAGAACCTCCCAAGACAGTGTCGTTGGTTCCATTCATGCACGACACCTGATAGGTTCCATTTGCAGCAATGCTCTTGATCTTGTCGACGCTTGCGCGTACCGCGAGCATGACCCGACTGCCCTCTTCGCAGTTGGATACGACGAGCTCTGCACGCTTCCCCACGAGAAGGATGGCATCGGCTGCCGATATGACACCGGCCACGACCAAGGCCGCATACTCACCCAGGCTGTGACCAACGACAGCGCTGGGCTTGACTCCGAGGAATGACCAGAATTCGGCGAGGGCAATCTGAGTGACGACGATGGTGAGCTGCGTTGTGAGAGGCGAGACAGCTTCATCCCCATGGACACCCTCTATGAGCGGAATGACTGATGGGAAGCCGAATAGCTGTACCAGGTGATCGAGGTGGGCGATCTGTTGGCGGTAGTACGGGAATGATCTGAACAATGCTGCGCCGATTCCAACATAAAATGCGCCTTGCCCGGTGAAAGAAAATGCGACCGACGGCGCGGTTGCCGAAACGGGGCGGATATCTCCAATTGTGGGCAGGGTTGATTCCAGGGCCTTTCGCAACTGAGGGATGCTAGAGGCTGAGACTGCGACTCTGGAGCTGTGGTGGATTCGCCGTGCAGTGGTCGTGTACGACAGGTCACCCAGATCGGTTTCTGGACGCCTGTCGAGATACTCTATGAGGGCCGCAACATTGTCTTTGAGTGAGTTCTTACTCTTGGCCGAAATTACCACCGGATGGCTCGGTCTGGGGTCCGAGCCGTATAGCTTCCTTTCAGGGGCGTCTCCGAGCATCAGCGTGGTATTGCCACCGTGGGCACCGAAACTGTTCACGACTGCATATCGAGTCTTTCCAGTTTGCTTTGGCCAGGGCCGCAGATCCATAGCCAGGCCAGCATGTCGCTTTGCCAGATCCAGCGGGATGATGGGGTTGATGGCCGTCTTGATCCCCACATGCGGCGGGATCTCATTGTTCTGGAAGACCAGCAGCACCTTGAGCAACGAGGCAATGCCTGCAGCGGCTTCACCGTGTCCTATGTTCGATTTCACTGCCCCGAGATGTAGAGGTTGATCGGCGCGGCGACGTGGCGAGAGGGGAGCAAAGAAGTCGCAGACCGACTCGGACTCGACCGCGTCACCGACTTGGGTTCCCGTACCGTGAAGCTCGACGTAGCCCACGTCGAGAGGATTGATACCTGCAGCTTGAGTTACTTGGGCGTAATTGCTCTTTTGAGCGCCAGCGTGAGGCTGTGTAATGGAGGCGGCATATGCAGAATGGTTTGTTGCACCGGCGAGGACGGTGGCTAGGATGTTGTCGTTGTCCGCCACTGCGTCCTCCAGGCGCTTGATCACAACGGAGCCAATGCCATCAGCCCGGCAATACCCGTCAGCGCCCTCGTCCCACACTTTGCATTGGCCCGTTCTGGACAGAAAATGGCCATTACCTAGCATGGCGTAGTTGTCGGGGTTTGTGATGACGCTGAGGCCGCCCGCGATAACAGTGTCCGCTTCGCCAGCCCAAAGCGCCGAGCATGCGGCATTGACAGCAGCGAGCCCGCTAGAGCATGCGGTGTCGATATTGAAGCTTGGACCGCCGAATTTGAAGAAATAATTGATGCGTCCGTTGGCAAAAGCTCTCTCGCCACCAGGCACTGCGTGCGTCCCGATGTTCTGCGCTGCGTTCAGCTCGCGCCAATCGTCGCTTGCCTGGCCGTAGTATGTGCCAACTCGCTCGAGTGTCGTCGATGGCGTTCTGTTGGGCGCATAACCCGACATTTCAAGGGCCTCGTAGGCAGTCACAAGGGCCAGTCGATGCATAGGGTCGGTTTGCTCTGCCTGCGATAGACGTGTCAGCCAAAGAGCCATTCAAGACAGCCTACTAGTGGACATTGTGCTTACCTCTCTTGGCGACATGTTGAAGAATGCCGCGTCAAACATTCCCGGCTGGTCAATAAAGTTTCCAAAAGGTGTGGGCGTCGAATTGGGGACCTGGCCGGTCGGATCGAAGTGCGCTTGTAGATCGAACCTGTCGGCCGGAACTTCCATGTGAGTGTCTCTTCCCTCCTTCAAGAGGTCCCAGAAAAGCTTGCAATCATTGGCGCCGCCGGGGAGTCTGCAAGACATGCCAACGATGGCGAGCGCTGACTGAGCAACAGTTCGTGGTGCGCTGGGCGCGACTTTACCAAAAGACCAGTCCACAAAGTCTACATTCTTCGTCGAGACTTGGCCAAGGCCCTCAGCCACGGTTTCTAATATGCTCTTGGAAACGAGAGAAGAGCGAAAGAGGAATGTTTCACACTCTGCCGACCCACACTCGGATATCGAGTCCAGTATTCCGCTGCTCAGATTGTCGAGGAAAATGCCACCCGTCAAAATGTCCGTGGCAATTTCTTGAAATAGCTCGCCGGCATTGCGGGCGAGATATGGTTTGCCCGTCTGCGGCGAAAGCAGTGGCAGCCGGATGGAAAGAGAGTGATTGCACCTCGGTACAGATCCGTGGACGATGGTGCGGACATCTTCAGTCGTATATAGGTGTGGTGCATGGCACAGTCCGTTGTAGACCGGCATCGGGAGATGCTTCGAATAGCGCAGAGTTTGAGAGTGCCTGAACGCGTTTTTCAGGCGCGACGGGGGGCCTGTGACGCTGATGGACGTTTTGTCCGACGCACTGATGAAGACTTTTGTCGGCGTGGGGTTTGACTAGACAGGGTTGGCGTTATTGAGTGTATGAGCCTGAAGAGTACAGGGCCAATACCCACCGATTCCGTGTTGTAGCGGTCAAGCTCCTCCTGCACCTTTGCGATGGTCAGGCCAGTGAGCACATAGGCCCAGCTGCCATAGGTTCCATCCTCGTCGCGCGACTCAAGTCTTCCAGACACGCCATCGACGTGGATGCCCAGTCTGAAGGCTACCCTCACGCTTTCAACACCGTTGCTGGCAACATCCGCCAAGGAATCGGAAACAGAGATCGCCGCGGCGGCAAATAGCCCGATACTAAGGCCAGAGAGTGTCGTTCTGGTACTGGGTAGGTCGAGCGGCAGGTTATCGGCTTCATGGTGACTATGGAACAAGTCAGTATTCGGTTGGCGTACGTGCTGATTGCAGTAGCCTTACCCAATGAACATGCCAATCTCCAGGACACAGAGCAGGGCACTCTCCAGCGCTCCGCCGACGGGACCTTGTCTGAAGTCGGGGCCATCTGCAAGTGACAATATAGACTTGAAGGACGGGACGAGATTCTTCAAGTGAAAAGGCAACGCTGCGACTTCATCGTGGACCGCATCGCTACAAGCATCCAGGAAGGTAGCAAGCAGGCGAAACCTCACACCTTTGCTATGGGTGTGAAGGCGGCGAAACAGATCTCGAAGGTCGTCATTGGGAAATTCGTTGCTGAAGAACAGCAACCGCGATGTAAAGTCGCTGAGACCTTCCGTTGAGGGAGTGGTGGTCATGGCTGTCTCACTTTAGAACCACGGTGGTTGAAGAAGCGGAAAGACAAGGTGCCAGGCAAATCAGCGGGAAGACTGGGGTTTATCTCATTTTGCAGGCATATGCTCAGCTATGCGGGCGGCTACCCACTGGAAAAAATAGAAAAGAGTCCGAGCTAGTAGCATCGGTATCGGTGTGATTATTATACGGTGGCCGGCCCGGCCCCATGTCAAGAGTGGCACGGGAACCGACGAGAGCCGGGGCAGGAGGGCGGAGCGCAATACTTCTGGCCAAGCACGAGGCAGGTACTCACCACACCTGTACAAACAACGCTTGCTCGAATGGGATAGGGACCATCTGAAGAGGCTCCGTTAGCCTGTGGGAGAAGTGAGAGACGGTTCGAGGTTCCCTTCAGCTAGGTCAGTTTGGCACGCGGCTTGCATGGAGGGAGAGTCTCATTCTGCAAACTCGATGTCTTGTCTGACGCGCATTAAAGGTGTCCCACTCAACTATCCGTCATGGTTACGTAGCTCCGCCTGATGTTCTCTCCTGTTCTCGGCCGCTTTATTTGTGCATGTTCTACCCTCTTGCTTTCCTGTCCTCTCATGCGCTGACATGGCAACCACGCTCCTGAAACTACACTACGTTTCTCTGCGTATACATGTCCATCCGCCTGCCCTACGACACCTTGCATCGTCTGTTGACAAACCATCGTTGCGTGCCACCCTGCATAGAGAAACCAACCTTGCGCGTGTCAGCCAGCATCCGCAGAATCTCCATCGTAGAAGGTTCAATCGCACTCTGCAGCAGATGCTGCGGAACGTCTCCGTGGATCTTGCTGACAATCTCCCTCGTCGACAAGCCGAACTTGCTGTTTGCGTTTCGTCCCCCGCTCAACATACTGTCTAGCAGAGCTCCATATATAAGTCTCTCGCGCGTACGTTTTTGCATGATGTACTGGTTCAATTTGGCCGGCAAGCTCTGGATCCTGACTCCATGGGCCGGATATCCAATGGTACAGCCTTGCGCAGCCATGTAATCGAGACTTTGCAGATAAAGCGCGAGATCCTCCACGACGGTGAAGCCGTGACCCAAGACGTTATCACCGGTAAATAGAGCTTTTTCCTCTTCCAGCAGGAAGCACATGTGATCAAAGGCGTGGCCGGGCGTGAAAAGGGCCTTTATAGTGGCACCTTCGACGGAGAAAACCTGGCCGTCTTCGATGTCGTGCTGGCCTGGGTCAGGGCTGCATTTATAAACCCGATCTGCGAGGGTTGCGTCGTATTCAATGAGGTCAGGCACACCACCTGTGTGATCGCCATGCCAGTGCGTGAGTAGCACATGTGAAATATGGAGATCTCGTTCTTTTAGAACCTCGACCAGGCGTTCAGACCATATCGGGATTCCCTACGCTAACAAGGTCAGAGCTGCACTCGGGTTCTCTGTCTGTCACTACGGTCACGTACCTCACCAGTGTCGATCAGAATTCTTGCCTTGCCAGTACCGACGAGGAAGGTGTTGGTTCCCTGGAGCTGCATCTCTCCAGGGTTTCCTCCCATCACTCTGATAACTCTGTCGGTGACATCTTCCACATCGTCGAGATGCGGCAGCTGGCTCGCCTGTGCTGAAAGGTAGTCTTTCCAAAACTCACGGTCGATCTTGACGTCTGTCAAAGTTGCCATGATGGATGCACAAGGTGATGTGTTGAATCAAGTCCTTGTTCGGCCACCAAATTGCGATATCAGAGACGCAAGAGTATTTGGCCCGGGGTTGTTCCCAACAATTTGCCTGTCTCCGGCCTGGGGAAATCGTCACGCGCGTGCTGACTGATACGGGCGGGTAAGCGCTGTGAGTGCGGTGATCGTCGGAACCCGAGCCCAGCTTCTGGGATTTGGGTGCCGTGGACCGTGCCGTGACCTAACCCGGGTTGGGCTAATGCCGGGCTGTTGAGCTCGCCATAATCAGTGTTTTTTCGGGAATCCGGGCATAGTTGCTGCCTTGTCAAGCACGACTCAGCTCGCCATACGTTGTGTCAGACCTGCGGAGGTGTCTGCCATTCAGTCACAGTTGTTGTCGCGCCTTCTCGACTCAACGCTGCCGCCCTTTCGGAGTCGAGATTGGCAGGATAGGAAGGTCCATACGCTGAAGACTGTGATTTAATTATTACCAGATGTTATCCATACTTAATCTACCATGGCATCACCTGCGGGTGCCGCCGCAGAGCTAAATCGAGCAATGCTCGATTTTGCATCGCTAAGCACGCAGGCGAAACGTGATCGAGTGACACGCTGCAATCCGATCAAGCCGGCATTTCGAGAAGGAGAGGGCTCGTTACAGGGCAGAACAGCATGTCGGCTAGTGTGACATTACAAGAAATTTGTTGTAGGGTAGCGCATTCGGGACTCCAAGGCGACTGGGCTCGGCAATCGTACCGAGACGAAGTCTTGTGAAGGAGTTATTCTGACGCACGCCCCCTCCATGAAGATGTGTGCGAGCCTGCACACGAAAATGGGGCTGCATGAAGCAAGGCAGCGATGGCAGTCTCTTGAAACGGCGTCCCAGATGGCGACTTTCGATGCCCGGAATGTCTATGCGTCTGGTTTAACGCCGACTGCGTTCCACCCGTACCGGCCAGGTGATTGTCAGCTGCGTTTCTCCACCCCAGGGGTACATATATCCTGATCGGTCTTGCAGCCCTCCGTCCGCCGACCCGATGGAGCCCTTGTCGGAACCCTGGCCCGGACCCCAACCAACGCCCCAGGGCGGATGCGCCGCAGCTAACTCGATTGGGATGAGAGAGCGAGCCCGCCAACCACGAGGGTCTTCATGACTCCTTCGACCAACAATGTCCACATTGCTGCAACGATGTAACGCGATTGTCTGTCAGAGGTTCACAGCTCTGTGGCGGGGCCCGGCGCAATCCTCCCGGTCCATTTATATACCGCGGGGGCGGCCCAACTGCTCTCCAAATCTCCAAAGTAGGGGCGTACTGGCGCACATGTCGAGGATCATCACAAACAGCCCGAGATTCGCGTCGCAGCTGCTGCACCGCCCCAAGATGCCGGCCTTTACTCTGTATGGCGCCCGCGGGTCGACCAACACGGACCGCGTCCGCCTGACGCTCGCCGAAGGTGGTTTCACGGACTACGAGCTTGTGGTTCTCAATCTGGGAAAGGGTGAGCAAAAGGTCAGTGAGCTGTGTCCGGGCGGCAAACGCGGCCGCCTTGCTGGGACTGTCCGTCGCTGACACTGCCATTGCACCCAGTCCGAGGACAACATGAAGCGTCACCCGTGGGGCAAAATTCCCGTCGTCACTTTCCCCGACGGCTTCACGCTCTACGAGAGCCGCGCAATCTGCAAGTACCTGACGAAGAAGTACTCGTTCCCGCTGTTGCCCGCCGAGTCTGACGCCGAAGCCACGGCGCTGTTCGACCAGGCTCAGTCGGAGGAAATCCTCTACTTCGCCGACCCTGCAGGCAAAATCGCTTTCGAGAAGTTTGCCAAGAAGTTCATCGGGCTGCCTGTCGATGAGGCTGTCGTCTCCAGTGCGCTGAAGTCCGTCGAGACATACTTCGACGTGGCGGAACGTCTCTTGCAACACAAGGAATACATGGCTGGGAACGACTTCACTCTCGCTGACATCTACTACATCCCGCTCGTCCAAAGGCTTTTTGCATGTGGGTACGGAGACGTCGTTCTCAGTCGCCCAGCCGTGAGCGCTTGGTGGGACCGCATCACGACTCGGCCAGCGATACAGAAGCTGCTGGCCGCCGACAGGGAAGCCATGGCTGCGGCCGCTGCTGCGCGGAAGTAGAAGTAGTGAGCAGGATAAGATTTGAAGCGATAACAACGTTTCCTCATGCCTTTATCAATGTGAGCCCGTGGTGCCTGGATGAGCGACGGAGGGCCTGTGGAACGATTGTCAAGGCGCCATGGCGCATCTGGTTCCGCCACTAAACGGTAGAGTTGGCGAGGAGTTGCGATAAGTGTTGCCAGAGAGCCAATTAAGTTATAGATGCTACCTATACTGACACAGCTTCTCGAACTTGAACTCAGGCCACGCGACTGCCGTTCATGATCCACACCTCACACTTTTGCCGGCTTCCATCCAACAAAAGCGATCCGGGTCGCCACAAAGAGCATGGTCCCAATTGCGCAAGCTGTGCCCCCAAAGGCAATAGCATTGGTGAATGATCCTCCGTTCTTCGAAATGATAGCACCACCAATGGGGGACCCGGTCAGGCCAGCGAATGCCGAGATTGTGAAGACCGTACCAGTCCGCACACCGATATCTTGAATGGGTGAGAGCCTGGCGCAGAGGGCCGGCGTGAGACTGATGCCAGCGCCCGAGGAAATGCCAAAGAGTGACGCGAACAGAATGATCGGTACATTGCCGGTCGAAGGGAGCCACAAGCCGAGGATCAAAATCGACGTCAAGGCGCCCATGACGATCATTACGTTGAAGTGCCCGACCTTATCAGCAATGACATTGGGCACGGTGCGACCAAAAAGGCTGGAATCGTAGGTATCAGCTGATTGTAATTGTTGCCAGGAGCAAGGGATCTTTGTTACCTGGTCGCGTTGAGGATGCAGACAACATATTGCGCCAGGTGAGGCGACATGCCGTGGACGGTCGCGTCGGCGACAATAAACGTGAAGGGAATGAACATGCCCCCTGGGGAATTATCAGCGTCGCGTCTGGTGCGTTTAGTAACGGCATTTGACCAGACATTGAACTTACAGTAGAAGAAAAACACCGCAGCAGTCCACAAGGCAAAGGCCGGCTCCCGCAGGGGCCGGACGAACGCCAAGAACTCCAGCGGACGTTTTTGAGGCTTGATGCGACTTGTGAGAGTGAAGTTTGCAAACACCAACAGTGCCAGGATAAGGAAAGCGCAGCAGCGAATGGTCCATCCGAAGCCAACTCGAGGGAGTAGGTTGATGATGATGATAGGGAAAACGAGGCCGCCGAGAGATGAGCCGGCGGCCACAATGCCGAGCGCTGCCCCGCGCTTCTTGAGAAACCATGTCGATACCTAGAAGAAACAAATCCATGATTCAGTTGACCGGCGCTTCGAGACACGAGGAAGAGCTGCGGCGTACGCTTGAGAATGCAGGACTGAAAACGAGCGATGCGCCGACGGCGGAACAAACTGCTTGGCTGAGGAGGATCTGATAGTAAGTCTTGGAGATGCTGGTCATCATCAGGCCAAACACATGCAAGAATGTCCCAGTGACTAGCAGATATCGTGGACCGAAGTCGTCGAAAACCTTGCCGGCGAAGATGCCGCCCGCAAACATGAAGAAGACTGCTCGAGAGAATTAGCGACGACTCAATCACTGGTGCGCGACTATGAGAGGGCCGAACGTACTCTGTAGCGAGGGTATCCAAGCGATATCAGACGGTGTGTAATCGCGGAGCTGGTTGGACTGGTAATACTCTTGGAAGAGTCCTATCACGTTGACCCATCCAAACGACACGACCAGGCAAGCAGTCGCACCAGCGACGGCGAGCCAGGCTGTTGGCCCGCCGTCGGGATACTCATTCACCTTCTGCTTCTGCTCTTCTGCCTGTATGACTTGCTCGGAGTCATCTCGAGGTAACGGTGGTTGCGATTTGATGCCGCTCTTCTCCATCTTGGATTTGGTGCGGTTTGTTGAGGTCCGGTGAAGCTTCGAGTGCGGGTTGTGTCGTCTTGTTCGACCAAAAGCTACAGCAATGTTGATCCTGGCTGTTTTCCCCCCCGGAAAGTGTGCTTCGGACAGAAAGATCAATTAAAAAATATGCCGACGGCCTGCCGGCATAAAATGCCGGATTTATTGACACTCAAGCTGCAAGGGCCCAACTTGTTGGTTGACTGATTGTACGATTCATGCAGCCACGATCCACCGGGAAACAACGGACACCGAGCCGAAACGCACCGACCTCAAGATCGCACACACGTACCCACCCTGACAGCCGCCACACGGCTGCTCGCGTCGCGAGCAAAAGCCGTCGAAATTTCGGCGGTACAAGCCGATGCCGCTCTCGGATACCGTCGACGGCTAGGATGCGGCCGGGGACTTCAGGTACGGCGCGCATCATGCTGCACAAGAGTTTATAAGGTTGACGGGTTCTGCCATGATACAGCTGGCCCTCTTGTTCGATGTCTCTTCTGCATGCACAATAGACTCACTAAAAACAGAGCAAAATGTCTATTCCGGAGTATGCCAAAGTTCTCGTCATTGGCGGTGGGCCCGCCGGGTCGTACGCAGCCTCGGCGCTGGCACGGGAGGGAATCGACACTGTCGTCCTCGAGGGCGACAAGTTTCCCAGGTGAGCCTCGCCGCAACAATGAGATTTAATTGGCGTGGCACTGACTCGGCGTTAACCCACCCACAGATATCACATTGGAGAGAGCATGCTTCCATCCTTGCGCCACTTCTTCCGTTTCATCGACCTCGATGACACTTTCGTTGCGCATGGCTTCTACAAGAAGGTACCTCACATCAGGCCCCACCCAGACCATGCGCACGGCAGTTGAAAATTCCCCTTTCATAGATTGGCGCAGCCTTCGTATTGAACAACAAGGACCCGGCTTGTAAGTCGATTGGCTATGGTGGAACGTGCAGGCACCGGAGTCCTCCTAACACCGCACAGACACGGATTTCGTTGGCGCCGGTGGCCCGAACGCCTATTCTTGGAACGTCATCCGCTCCGAGTCCGACGACCTCATCTTCAGACACGCAGGTAAGAGCGGCGCTCGAATCTTCGACGGTGTCAGGGTCTCGGCTATTGAGTTTGTGCCGCACAATGGCCCAAGCACTGCCGACGACAAGACGCTGGACCCTGGCCGTCCCGTGTCGGCCACCTGGACGCGCAAAGAGGACGGTGCCACGGGCATCATAAAGTTTGACTACATCATTGATGCTAGCGGCCGCCTGGGTATCATGAGCACCAAGTACCTCAAGAATCGACACTTCAACCAGGGTCTCAAGAACGTCGCAAGCTGGGGCTACTGGCAAGGTGCGGGACGTTACGGCGTCGGTACGCCGCAGGAGGGTGTTCCTTACTTCGAGGCTCTATCAGGTATGCAATGCTGTTGCCTGTCCCCGGCCGAGAGTGTTGCTGATTTCGAATCCAGACGGCAGCGGCTGGGCCTGGTTCATTCCCCTGCACAATGGCACCACGTCGGTCGGTGTGGTTATAAACCAGGAGGTCGCGACTAGAAAGAAGAGAGAGATGGGCTCTCCAGGTGGCAAGGCATTCTACTTGGAAATGCTAAAGGCCGTGCCCAGAATACTGGGACCAATGCTCAAGGATGCAACGCTTGTTTCTGACGAGATCAAGGCCGCGTCCGACTGGTCGTACAGTGCCTCATCCTATGCCAGCCACAACGCCCGCATTGTGGGCGATGCTGGCTGCTTCATTGACCCTTTCTTCTCGTCGGGGGTCCATCTTGCCGTGGCTAGCGGTCTTTCGGCTGCCGCAACCATCTGCGCCGCGATCAACGGTCAATGCAGTGAGCACGAGGCTCTTCAGTGGCACTCGAAGAAGGTTGCCGAGGGCTACACTCGCTTCCTGCTTATTGTGCTGAGCGCACTCAAGCAAATCAGGGAGCACGACGACCCTGTGCTCAGCGACTGGGACGAAGCAGGCTTCGAGCGCGCGTTTGCCCACTTTCGACCGAGTGAGTGTGCAGAGTCGAACCCAAGTTCCCAATTCCAATCGTTGCTGACGAGTTACAGTCATTCAGGGAACCGCCGACGTCCACGGCAAGCTCACCCAGGAGGAAGTGTCCAAGACAGTCGACTTTTGTTTGAAGGCCTTTGCGCCCGTGGACGCCGCCAAGCGCGACGCCGTCCTGAAGAGGGTCGAAGATCTCAAGAGCTCCGGCAGTGCACAGAGTCACAAGGAGCTTGAGGCGTATCTCTCCCCCGAGGAGATGCACATTCTGAACACTGTGCGCGCCCGAGAGATGGTGCGGTCGGAGGACACGGTGAATATTGACACCTTCACCTCCGACATCATCGACGGTCGTGCCATCAACATGGTCCACGGCTCTCTGGGCCTCCTATCCGCCGAAGAGAGCGCCAAGAAGGCGGCAACGAAGTCTGGCGATGTCCTCGGTCAAATGATGGGCGAGGGCAACCAGCTGGCTCACAGCGAGCAGCAAGCCACGGCCCCGGTTCCCAGCGGCTAACGATTAATACGCATGGTGAGGCAACTTATGTATCAAGCTCAACAGGCACGTAGCCTGATCTAGGCAGGGCATTTAAGGCGATTATCTATCAAGTCCAATGCAGAGCTGTTCTTGCGCTGTGACTGCACCTGCGAAGTGATTTCAGCGTCGAGGCAAGTCGCCCAATGCCCGGATACATGCGACCAAGGTTCTGAAGTGACCCGTGCCTGGGCGCGTCTGAGTGCGGCCAAATCGAATTGCGCATGTCAGGGGCGTCTGGCTTGCCACAGGGTCTGCGGGATATGGAAGAAGGCAGGAATCATCTGCCTGGTCGGAAAGAATGTGTCACTTCCGATACACATATCATCGCACTTTGGCTGGCTCCCTTGAACCTCCTTCAGATCCACTGCGCTTTCTATATGCGCTTACTCTTTCATCGATAATGCTGCCTATGCCCTGCAGTCGGTCGTTTTCGGTCCGGAGCTCGGCTTGGAGATTTGAAGAGGAGTTCAATGCTTCCACGAGAATTATCTTCAGTATCTGGTGGAAGAGACGCAGAAAGGACACTGCAAGAGGTTCAGTTCCTGGAGACTTGATATCCGCATGAACAAGCTCGAGATCCATGAGCCAGGATTTTAACGACTCCAATAGAGCTGTTTTCTCGGGAAGTAGTCGAAGAGCGTTTCCCGCTGAGTCGACACTAGACACTTTGCCGAGAAAGTCGAGCGTCGACGTGGAGATCCTGGTAAGCTCCGTCCGCATATCGGGTACAATCGTGCGAAGATTGCGAGATCCAACGGTCTGCTCATGCCGCGATATGGCACACATAGAAACCGCCTTCCCGCCCTCCTTATCGGCTGTTGCTGAAGGCTCCGCGAACTTGCATGGTGCAGCGAACAGCTTGATGACAAAAGCATCCAGCAAGGGTAGCTGGGCATGGTGTGCCGGCACCAGGTTATTCGCATCATCGAGAGTTGGCCGTGCCCGATATTCGTGCATGATGCCGAGTCCTTGAATGATGTGCTGGGCCATGGTGCCATAGTTTCCGCGCACTTGCTCAATACTGATGAAGATCTGACAGCAAAGCAGCGCCGACTTCAAGGCGTTGGAGCCCGGAGACGACAAGTTAGACGCCAGCCCCCCCAAGGCCATACAGTATTGTTGAACGCCATAGTCGTAGCCATAGCTCGGGCTCTGCTGGGCGGCAGATGCGGAAACGTCCCCAGAGGTCTCGAGATGCTCCCGAAGAGACCTGAGAGATGATACCGCATGTCGAACAGTCGGATCTGTCAAGCTGGCTTCGAGGACTTCCCTGGCTTCTTCATCACAGCCTAGCTTCACGTCGAACATGGTCTTTGTTGAGAAGTAACGATTGAGGAGGTCGATGTCTGCTGGTGATATCTCGGTCAAGGCGGGCCGGACGGGTCTTGACGCAGCGCCTGGGATGCCGCTAGCACGAGCGCCGTTGATGATGGATCGACTGGTGACTACTCTGAATGGAGATTCGTAGCCGTCGCAAGTGCGGCCAGTGTCGATACATTTTTGGCAACATGGCTTCTTCTCGTCGCATTTGACCTTTCTTATTCTATTTCTGAGTGAGCAATCACCTCACGAAGCCGAAATACCCATCTAAAGGCCCAGTCTTGAGATGTGCGGCGGTTGATGAGAAGTGAAACCGACCTGCAGGTTGCACAACCAGTCTTCATCTTGGTTCTACATTGTGTGCTCCGTTTGCGGGCGGCCAGGCTTCCAGCCATCGTTTGGCGGGGGCGGGGCAGGGCTCGCGCTCGTTGCGTAGCACCCTGCAGATGAGAGCAAGTCTCGCGGCGAGGAACAAATCCAGACCGGCGAATAAAATGATGCACGTCAATTCATTAACGAGACGCAGGGGCTAGGAATTCGGCATCGCTTCCGGGGAGGGACAAGCCGACGTGTTACGAGTTACGAGCTCGCCGGCGCGACGCTGGAAGGGGAGGGAAGGCAGCAGCGCCACTCCAGACGGCTCGGGTCAACGTCGGAATTTTAGGCCAATCACAGAGCACGAAGTCGCCCAGGGCCTGAAAAGTCGAGTCAAGGTCACGAGACACGCCGTGCTTGCTGATCATATGACCTTGCGTGTGATCCAGTGCCTTTGCGGTACGGAATCAGGTCCGGCGGAAGTATGGGACAGGGGTTCGCCGGGCCACCCGACCTCCGGCTCCAGAAGTCGCTTGTCAAATGCTGCGACGCTGTCGGTGGTACAGCCCACTCAACACCTGCTAGCTTTTATTAGTGAATTGACAGGCAGCAATTCTGGGAACAGCCAGATGTCCTCTCAATCGCAATATAAAGTGACACCACATGGCAGCGTTTCGTGTCCTCCTCCTCGAACCTAGACGCTAGCATAAGCGTCCAGTCCAGATGCATCCTATTATATATTTATAAAGAGAGCAGCTATTTAGACACTAACTGATTTCTATTTAGCTACTAGCTCCTATATGCTAAGGGGCTACTAAGGGCTTCTAAGGCCGCCCCTTCTTAGTAGACTAAGGTCTATTATATAAATTAGGTATAGACCCCTAGCAAGCCTAGAAATTATAGTATAAAGTCTACTTATTAGTATATATATATATAGAGCTCGCGGCCGATACCGTAGCTATAAGTTACTACCCGTAATATAAGGCGCTCTCGATAATATAGGCGGTTACCGGTAAGATACTTCTTACTGCCCGGATCGGGCTATTAATAAGAGAAGATATACGCCCCCTTATATACTATAGTAACGATATCTAACGTATGTCTATATAAGGATAATAAAGTCCGCTTTTTAACGTATCGATATCGCTTATAAGGCTATCATTAACTCCTCTCGATACCTATAGCAGTATAGATATAAGTATATATATAGAGAGGAATATATATATATA